TTACCCATTTTTGATATCTTCTGTTGTTGTTGTTTTTTTTCTTTTTTGAATACCTTCTTCTGTTTTTATTTTTCTTTGAATACCTTCTTCTGTTTTTATTTTTCTTTTTTGAATACCTTCTTCTGTTTTTATTTTTATTTGAATACCTTCTTCTGTTTTTATTTTTTTTTGAATACCTTCTTCTGTTTTTATTTTTAAACTCATTTTGTATCTCTTATTGTTGTTTTTTTTATTCACAAAATATATTTTTTAAATTTTTTTTTAAATTTTTTTTTAAATTTTTTTTTAAAAATTATAAAATTTTTTTTTTTAAATTTTTTTTTTATATCATCACAAATAAAAAAAATAATAATAATTATGATTTCTATTACACAAATAGAGGGCAATAATAAAAAATTAATAACAAAAAATTTATTAACCCAACAAGTATATTTTTATGGGAATAATAAAATTTTTGATTCACAAAAAGAGAAAAAAAATTTATATAGCTTGAACACAATCGACAGCGAAGAAATTATTTTATTAATTGGAACCTATCAAACCAATATATCTTATGTATCATTTTATTATAGAAAAGAGAAAATATCCATTAATGATAGATTAGTTAACTTTTTTTCAAGAGAAATTGAATTAAAAGACAAAGATGTAATTAAAATAAATAATTATGAAATAAAGTATGAAAAAATTGGTAATGGTAATGGTGTCGAAATTCAACCGGAGAATAACCTCGAATCTGACAGCTCAAGTGAAAGTTCAAGTGAAAGTTCAAGTGAAATTGAAGTTGAAATCAATACAAAAAAAAAAACAAGAAAAATGAAGAAAAGAAAAAGATCAAAAGTCATCAAACATGCCAGTTTAAATACATAAATAAATTTAATTTTTAGTTTTCTAAAAAATGTGTTTTATTAATTTTATTAACTACTAATCTATATACAACTGTTTTATCAAAACTTTGCTTATACCTTCCTCCAACTTCTAATATTTCTACGGATGGTGGTATTGCACTGGGTGATAGAGGTTGATTAAACCAATCGCCAAATATTAATGTTTTTACAGAGGATGGTATTACACCAGCTGAAATAGGTTGATTAAATTTAAAACCAAATATTAATGTTTCTACAGAGGATGGTATTACACCGGCTGATAGAGGTTGATTAAATTTAAAACCAAATGTTAATGTTTTTACAGAGGATGGTATTACACCGGCTGATAGAGGTTGATTAAATTGATTACCAAATGTTAATGTTTCTACAGAGGATGGTATTACACCGGCTGATAGAGGTTGATTAAATTGATTACCAAATTTAAGTTTTTTTGCGGATAGTGGTATTATGTATTTTATTATACTCGCTATAGGTTTAGAAGAATTTTTTTTAAAAGTATAAATAACTTTCTTTACTTTATAACTATTTTCTAACATTTTGATGGATGGCGGCTTTATAAAAAAAAAATAAAAAAAAAAAATAAAAAAAAATAAAAACTAAAAAAAATAAAATTTTTTTTAAAAATCAATATTTTTTCAAATTTTGATGTCAATTTTATTATTAAACGTTGGTTTTTGTTTTATAAAAAATAAACCCTCCATATCTAAATTTTTTTCGTGGAAACTTAGCATTTTGTTAATAATGTGGGAAAAATATTGTATAGTAGTAGTATTAATAATTACCAATCTAAAAATTGAAAATTTTTATTTTCAATACTTTTTCTGATTTCTTGTATATATTTTTCTTTTATGGAATTAGCTATATATTCTTTATTTTCAATATTTTTTATTAAAACTTGTAGTTGATATAATAAAAAATCCATATCAATTTTTTCATTTTTTTCAAAAAATTTTTTTTCTTCTTTTAAATTATCCATAAATTTTCCTTTATCTATTTTGTTTTGGATTTTTAATATTGTTGGGTAAAATAAACTATAAATAACAACTTCTGAAAATTTTAAATGAATATCCTCTACACTATATTCTTCTATTTTTAAATTATTCTTTTTATTAATTGCCTCTTTAAAAAGTTTTAGTTTTTCCATATCATGGTCTTTACAATCATTATTAATTTTAATTTTGAATCTATTTGAAAATATATTAAAATTTTCATACTTGAATATTGATAAATGTTTTAATGTTGATAAAAATGAATAGTTATTGTTATAGAAATGACAAGTAATAAGAACCTATAAAAATTTTAAAGAAAAAAATAAATTTGTATTATTATTATTATTATTATTATTTTAAATAAAATAAGAAATTTTACTTTTAAATCATTAAAAGTTTGTAAAATATTTTGATGAAAATATTCATATTTTTCGTATAACCCAATTAATGTTGCTTTATCTATTATTATAAATTTATTATATTTAAAAAATACTATTTCTAAAAAATTTTGAAACAGTTCTTCTTTATTTGATAATTTAAAAAAAGTATAATCCCTAAAATAAATTTTTGTATTATATAAAAGATTTAAAATAATTATAATTGGATATTTATTTTTCTGTAGTTTTTTTATAAATTTTGCAAGCTTTTCTTCGTTAATGGTTTTGCTAAAATTTTCAAATATAAAAATTGTATTATTATTTATTTTTTTAATTTGAAAACTATCAACCATCATGATAATTGTATCACTATCAGAAAATATTTTTTTACAAACATTATAAATACCATTTGTCATATTAAAAGATGAATAAAATACAATTTGATTTACTTTATTTTCTTCTTCTTTTTTATAAGTTTTTAGATGGCCATTTATAATATCCTCCTCTTTTAATATTAAACAATTTTCTTTTGACTCTATATCAGCCATACAATTATTATAAAAAATAATTTTTTCATTTATTATGGACATTTTATTGCAAAATAAAAAATAAAAATAATGATCCGCAAAAAAATTAAAAATGAAAACTTAAAAAATTTTTTTTACATATAAAAAATTAATATGCAAAAAAAGACTTTGAAAAATATAAACTGTTTCCTAAAAATACATATAAAAATTAATATGTATTTTTAGGAAACAGTTTTTTACATATTAATTTTTTATATGTAAAAAAAGACTTTGAAAAATATGAACTGTTTCCTAAAACTCCATATTAAATTTTATATGTAAAAAAACTGTTTCCTAAAAATACATATAAAAAAATTATATGCAAAAAAAAGACTTAGAAAAATATGAACTGTTTCCTAAAAATACATATTAATTTTTATAGGTTAAAAAAAATTGTTACCTAAAAATACATATAAAAATTTTGCCATATAAAAACGCTATATTAAATTTCAGTAATGACGGGGCGCAAAATCCGTCATGACGGAAAATAAGGTGGTGCTCATATATAAAGGCCCACATTAATTTTTTTACATTTTTGGGTCCAGGTTTTAATATATTAAATAAAATATTATAATTTTTTTATATATATAAATAACTTTTTTGGGGCTATCTATCTATACTAATGCAAATTACCAGAATAACATTTATAAAAACTTTTTTTTTTAAAACAATAAAAAAAATAAAAAAAAATAGTTTAAATATTTTATAAAAAAATTTTTATTTATTTTGGTTTAAATATGAGATCGGTGGTATTATCTGAATGAGACATGGAAACAAAATATGTATCAGTCTCTCTTTTAAATGAAATTAAATGACCACAATTTTTATTTTTATGATAAATATTAATTATCATACCATCAATATCATTATTTACCTCTTCACGATAACCTTTAACGAAATTTTTAAAAAAATTTTTTGTATTTTTTCTTATATATTCGTTTGATTTGATAAATTTTATCTCAACTAGTTCTTCATCTTTAGATTCATCATCTTCATTTCTTTTTCTTTTTAAAAACTTTTCTTCTTCTTTTTTTATTTTTTTTTTTATTTCTTTCTCTTTTGATATAAAATCAACTGGTTCATCTTCTTTTTCTTTCTTTTTCTCTTTTGATTTTATGTCAACTGGTTCATTTTCTTTTTCTATCTTTTTCTCTTTCTCTTTCTCTTTCTCTTTCTCTTTCTCTTTCTCTTTCTCTTTCTCTTTCTCTTTTTCTTTCTCTTTCTCTTTTTCTTTTTGGTCTTCATTTTCTTTCTCTTTCTCTTTCTCTATCTCTTTCTCTTTTTCTTTTTCTTTTTGGTCTTCATTTTCTTTTTCTATCTCTTTCTCTTTCTCTTTTTCTTTCTTTTTCTTTTTTTCTTTCTCTTTCTCTTTTTCTTTTTCGTCTTCATTTTTTTTTTGAATTTCATTTTCTAAAGCTAGGGTTCTTCTAGTATTTATTTTATTGGGGGAATTATTATTTGTATGTTCTTCAGTATTAGCACCATTCTTCTTAGGTGATTTAAATTGTAGTTTCTTCTTTTTTGGTGTGCTTGCTTCTTCTTCACTTTCATCTTCTTCACTTTCATTTTTTTCTGAAAAAAAAAAAAAAAAAAAAAATTTAATATTATAATTTTAAAAATAGTAATATGTTAAAAATACAAAGATAAAACATACTATTGTATTGTATTGAATGATTTTTAAAAAAATCTTTTGCATTTTCTTTATATTTATCTACGAGAAATTCAATATCTTCTTGTTTAAGAAGATATTTTTTAGCTAAAGTTCTGTTTGATATATATTCATAACAATCATATTCTTTCCCATCCAAAACTAATTTTTTATTATTTATTTGTATTTTCTTATTTAAATAATATTTATTTATATTTTTATTTTGAATGTCTTCGTATGTGTACATTTTTTTTTTTTTTTTTCTAAATTTTCTTAAATAATTTAAATAATTTATAAAAAAAAAAATTTAATATAAAATTTAAAAAAAAAAAAAACATTTTTTTTTTTTTCTTTATTTTTAAAAAATTTTTAAAATAACGAAATTTTTTATAATTATAAAAATTTTATTTATAAATCATAAAACCAAACCAATGGTTAGAATTAAAACTATAAATATAAAATTTTGTAAAATTCTTACTCCCTCATTTTTTGAAGGATCTAAAAGAGAATTTTTTTTCAATGATTTGTTATATTTGTTTATATAAAATACTGAAACACCTTCATTAAAAATCTCTGTACAATTATTATTTTGTATGTCCAACTGTTTGGTTTCAGCAGTACAGTTTTTGCAATCGTTTGTTTCACAATTATAATAGGTTACATGAGTTTCATTTGCTTTATAGTATTGAGATTGATTTTGAAATACCTCACATACGTTCTCTAGATGAATAGTTGTATATTCATAATCTTTACATGTATGCAAAGCATACATAGATTGAATTAATGATCCTGGTATAACAGTATAATTAAATAATTCATTATCGCTGATACTTTTAATAAAATATGATTGTCCATAATCATCGGCTACACAGTAATTTCTTTTATTTATTTCAGTAATCGTTTCAAAATTATTACATATTGAATCTGGATTTTTTATTTGGTCATAAAAAATAACATGAGTACTATTTAATTCAAACCTTCCTTTAAATGAGCAATCACTTATAATTTCATATAATACCTCACTGCCCTTTGAACAATTGTTGGAATTATAATAAACTCTTAAAATTTTATCAGAGTTATTTATAAACTCTGATGTTTCTAAATATTGTTTTGATACAGAATTTTCTGAATAAATTAATTGAAAAAAAAGAAATAAGAACAAAAACAATATAGCTTTCATTTTTTTATTTAATATGTTTCAATTTAATTTTTTAAAAATATAAATAAAATTTTTTTTTTAATTTTTTTTTTTTATTATTTTAAAATTAAAAAAAAAAAAATTTATATAATTTTTTAATTTTTTTTAAAAATAAATTAAAATGAAATTTTATATCTTTATATCTTTATTTTTACTATACAACTTTTATTTTGTTGAATCTTATGATTTTTCAAAATTTTTATACTTTGTTGAAGAGAATAATAATTCTGATATAATCGTTAACAAAAGCTATAATAATAATAATAATATAAATGATAATATTAATTATATTATTGATTTTAAAAATTTGGAAATTTTTTTCAAAAATGAAAACATTTCAAAGACAATTCAAATTTTTCAAAATGAAGATGATGGTGAAAAAAATTTAAAGAATTTTTATAATATAACTGAACACACAAAAATAAATATTGAAGAGTTTTGTGAAAAAAAAAAACATTTTAATATAAATATTTATGGAAATGATAAACCATTTTTTTATTTTGGGAAAATTTTTTGTAAAAAAAAATTTTTTTCCTACTTGGATGATGTTTTAGAGATCATCATTTCATATTTTAAATGCTCAGAAGGATTCTTTAACGAAAATTGTCCAAAAAGATATTATCAAATATGCTCTTTTATTTTATTCTCAACCATAAATGTTTTTTTATTTTTAAAAATTAGTAAGATATTAAAATTAGTTTGGAAAAAAAAAATACTTTTGGTAATAATAACCTTTTTGATTGTATTAACTTCTTGTGCGGCAATATTTATAAACAAAAATGAAATAAAAGATTTTTTTTAAAATTTTTTTTTTTTTTTTTTTAATTTTTTTTTAAATTTTTTAAATTTTTATTATTATTGTATAACCTCCAAATGATTATCATAGAAAAAAAAGAAGACCACCGCATTTTAACTTTTTATTTTGACGAAAGCTATGGTTGTTTAGAACTATCAGAAAATGAAAAAAAAATTATAAATTATTTTTATAATAACCCAAAAATTAGTGTTGACAAATACCCAACAACAATAACAACAGCAAAGGAATTTAATATAAATGAAAATACTTTTAATAATATTATCAACAATTTAATAAAAAGAGAAATTCTTCAAAAAATAGATGGGAATATATGTCTACCGTTTAACCTTGAAATTTTTTTTAAATTAACAAATATTAAATAAAAAAAAATATATAAATTTTATTATAAAATTCTATAAAAATAAAAAAATATAAAATTATTGAACTTTTTATAATTTTTTTTTTTTTTTTTGTTTTATATATTTCTAATATGTAAATGTATTCAACGATATTTTGAAAAAAATCTAAAAAAATAATGGTTAGTTTTTGATATTTATTTATAAAAATAAAATCAAGACCATAAATAATATAAAGTTTTAAAAAAATAACAGAATTTATAAAAAATTTTTTTTTTTTTAAAAAAATTGAAGCTTTGTATAAATAGTTTATATAATTTAGGTTATTATTTAAAAATAATAGAGATAATAGTGTATAAAAGCTAAATATAAAAGATATATAAATATATCTTAATAATAAATAAATATTAGTAATTTTTTTTTTTGTATTTTTTATTATAAAATGATAATTTTACTCTTTTTTTTCTTTTTGTAAAATCCCAAAATAAAAAATGCAATTATGTAATAAAAAAAAATTTAAAAATTCATTAATGTTATAAAAAAAAAAATTTAAAAATTCATTAATGTTATAAAAAAAAAAAAAAATTGAACAAAAAAATAGAAATATAAATAAAATATTACAACTATTATCAATATAAATTTGAACTTTCAATCCGGCAATAAAAAAAAATTGGGTGGACACAGTTAAAAAAACTAATTTTTTTTTGTACATTAATGGAATTTTTTTTTTTTTAAAATAAATAAATTTTTTTTTTTTTTTTAAAATCAAAAATTTTTTTTTTTTTTTTTTTAAAAATCAAAAATTTTTTTTTTTTTTTTCATTTTTAATTTTTTTTTTTTTCTATCAAAGGTAACCTTATATATAAGCCAAAAATATATTATTAATAAAAATATATTTATTAACTCTATTTCTTTTTAATTTATAGATGTCTATAGTCCAAAGGTGTTAGTAAACACCAAATATAATATGTGTAGAATTTCTATAGTCCAAAGCTGTTAATAGAGAGACCAATATACATTAATTATTTATTATTTATAGATTTCTTAAAAGTTCATTTAAATAAAATAGTATTTAATACTAATTTTAATTTAATTTTTAAACTATTGTTATTACTATGATGTAAATATAAAATCAATTAATAATAATTTAATATTTTTTTTTTAAATATTTATTATGCCCAAATATTTAGGGATAAAGTAAAATCTGACTCCTATTTACTCTTTCAAGATTTATTGTTTTCTATATCCTTCACAATTCGAACAATCATCGACAAATCTCTACCGGGATTAAGTAAGTATTAATTTTTAATTATTTACAAAATAAACTGTGTATTTTAACACTATCATTTAATCTCATTCTAAAACTGAATCAAAAAGAATCATAAATCCAAATACAAATACAAATAAAAGTAAATATATAAATACATTCATTTAATTTATAAATACTAATTAAATTTACAGAAAAATGGAGATATTATAAATTACCCGGTTTTCCACCATTAGATTTATTTAAATTTTTGGTTAATAATGATGATTTATGGGAAAAACATCAAGATAACTTTAGTCGGTTAGCCTATTCGTTTACTCATTGAATAAGATCTTTTTCTTGAGATATGTTGATACTTCCAAGGGAATAAATATGATACAAATTTATATTTACTAGAAGATTCAATAATTGAAAAGGAACTAAAGCTAGGTCTGTACTAAAGCAAGAGTCTCAAACATATTAGAAACCCATGTCAATTCTAACATCTGTAATCAAGAATACTATTCGTAGCTCTAAATATTTTAGAGTTTTTCTTGTGGTTGCATTTCCATGATTCTATTTTGTTTTTTAAAAGTTAAAAATGTAAGATTAAATTAAAAAAGTAAAATTTGTTTTATTATAAATATTAAATTATCATAGATGTATTTAGATAATATTTCTGAATTCATTATTTTTGGTAGTGGTAAGGTTATGACAACATATATATCATTTCTAAATAACTGATATTCCTTTGGTTAAAAACTCAAAATAAGAAAGATCCAAGTAGGTATTAATTATTTTATAAATATTTATAAACTGTATTTTAACACTATCTTATAATCTCTAGAAAAAGATCTTATTCATTTTCAAAATATCAAATATATAATAAATCCAACAAATAAAAACAACAACACTGTTTAAAAGCCTTAATTTTTAACTGAACTATAAAAATGTTTCCTAAATGTTATCTTTAATACCAATACCAATACCAATACCAATTATCATTAGATCGAGCTTATAATAAAGATTATAAACCAGATAATCTTATTTTAGAAGAAAATACCAATATTTAATCCAACAAATAAAAACAACACTGTTTAAAAAGCCTTAATTTTTAATTAACTGGTAATTATACTTATTTTAATTATATAAAAGAATTTGATTAATTAATTATTATTTTTAATTTTTAGAATTCTTTATCGAAAACCAGGTTAATAAAAAATTAAGGTTTTTAAACAGTGTTGTTTTTATTTGTTGGATTAAAAATATTAAATTAAAAAATTAAATAAATTATAATAATAACATATTAAAGTTTTTTTTTTTTTTTAACCTTTAATTTTTTTTAGCTTTTTTTTATGCATGCTTTTAAATTTATTTTGGAATTATTTAATACAAAATAATTTTCATTTATTTTAAAAATATAAAAATTATTATTATTACTATTTTTATAAATATTATTAATTATTATGTCTTTTATATTTATATCGGTTTTATAGTTTATATATTTTGGAGTATTTAAAAATTTAAAATTTTTTATTATTTTTTTATTATTTTTTTCATATACCACTATATTTTTTGATGTTATATAATATTTTTTTAGAAAATATTTAAAATTTAAAATTAGATAGATTATTCCATAATTATAGCAAAAATATTTTAAATCTTTTATTATTATTTGATTTATATTGTTTTTATTTGAGTTGGCTAAACAAATTAAACTTCCAAAACCTTCTCCAATAAATGTTATATCGTTTTCATTTATATTTTCTGATTTTAAAAATTTCATACATTTTTTTATGTCTGATGAAATACCTTTTAAACTATGGGTTTTATAAATGAATGTAAAAAAATTATAATCTTTACATTCTTTGAAATAATTTAATGTTTTAATTAATTTTTTATTTTCTTTATTATAAAAATAAAATATTGTTTTTTTATTTAATTGATTATTGTTAAAAAAAAAAATTATTATATTTTCATGTATTTTGTGTTCAATATTCATATATTTTATGTTCAATACATTTTTTTTTATTATTAAATTGTATATATAAAAAAATAATAAAATTAAAAAATTATATAAAAAAAGAAGTAACATATTTATAGTTGGAAATTAATAGATATTTTTTTTTTTTTTTTTTTTTTAATTATAATTTTTGTAAAATATAATATATAATTATGGATATAGAATGTTCATATAAAAATAAAAACACAGTTTTAGTTGAATATTATAAAAAAGAAATAGATGAAATTATAAATTTAATTAAAAAAAATAACTTTTGTTTTATTTTTTTTGGAAAAAATAACTATCATAAATATTATATTTTAGAACATATAGCAAAACAATTGAATTATCAAATCATATCAAAACAACAACAAACACCCACAAAGAAAGAAAATTTTTTTAATATTCAATTTCTCGAAACTTGTAAAAACTATGAAATTATTATAAAAAAAAGTAAACAAAATAATATTTTTTTTTTATTATCTGACAAATTATTAGATCAATCACCCGAAACCTTTAAAATTTTAAAATTTTCAAATAGAAGTTTTGAAGAAATTATTGGAACTTTAAAAAAAATATATACAAATTTTGAAAGCAAAAACTTTTTTAATGAAGATAATATGGCCATATTTAAAAATTTTTATAAATCATACAATACAATAGAAAGTTTTATTATACTCTTTGTATGTATTTATTATATCATTTGTTTTTTTTTAATATTAACATTTTTTTTTTTAACATTTAGGATTATATAATAAATAGTGAGGATTTGTCAAATTTAGAAAAATTTATAAATTTATATTTTTAAAAATAAATAAATTAGTAAAATAAATTTTTTTTTTATATTTATGATGATTTTTACCATTTTTTTTTTTTTAAATTTTATTTTTTTATTTTTTTCGAATATCTTTCTATTGTGACGGGTAGCGCAGTGAAATGAATACCGGCCAATTTCAAAAATTTTACTGATGATGTTACAAATATTTTAGGATTATGATCTTCCTGCTGAGATAACATTATGCACCCTTTCAAAATTAAAAAAAAAAAAGAAAAAAAAAATTATAATAATTTAAAAATTATTTTTTTTTTTTTAATCTATTGAAATTTTTTTTTTTTTTAATTTTTTTTTTTTAAATTTTGTTATATGGCCATATATATTTTATTATTATTATATATAATATTTTTATTATTACTAGTATTATTAAGCAAGGTTCAAAAAAAAAAAAATGGGAGTTATAGGAGATGTGATTCTAAATAATCATGAAATGTATTATTTTAACAATATTATCATTAAAAAAAATATCTAAAATTAATATTTTTTTTTTTTTTTTTTTAGAGAAAACAAACAATTGGTCCAGAAACATAGTTTGGAATTAATTACTATTTTTTCTTTTTTTTTCCTTGGCTTTTTATTTGTTTTTTTAAATAATATTTTAAAATATATTTTTGGTTTAGTTGTTTTGTTATTATTTAGTATACTTATTTTTTATTTTTTAAAAAAAAGAACCTATAATAACATAAAAAATTTCATAGTTTTTTTTATTAAATTTTTTTTAGGGTTCATCAGTTCTTTTGTCATCGGCAAAAATAACAGGTAATAAAAATCAATATTTTTGTACTTGAAATTCATAAGCATATACTAATTATTTTAATTTTTTTAATAGATTAATTTTCTTTTTCTTAGTTTTATCAATTTTAATATTTTTATTAATTTCTTTAATTTTACTAAGTTTTTTTAAAAAAGCTTTTACTCTCTTTCTTATTCCATACTTCATACTAGTTTCATCAAATATTTTATTTTTAATATTAGCACATCAAATAACTTTTAAAAAAACTTTATTAGATTTGGTCATTATAAATCTATTAAGTATTTGTGGATTTTTATATCAACAGTTTTTTTATTTTAAGATAAAAAGAAATCATAAAGCTAATAATATTTTATGGAATTGGGATTATAAAGAAAAAAAATAAAGAAAAAAATAAAGAAAAATTTTAATTTTTAAATATTGTATTGTATTTTATTATTATTATTATTAATAAAAGAAGAATATAATTTTTCGAAATCGAAATGATCTATAGATGTACTCTGGCCAGTGATATTATAAATATCAAAGTTAAAACAGTCGTTTTGGGTATTGTTCGTTAAAAATTCATTTGTTTGATAATAGTTATTATTATTATTATTATTATTTGAGATATTATTATTATTTGTAAAATCATCATGGAGTGTTTGAATATTTTTTTCGTTTAAAAACTTGGATAAAACATCGTTGTTGTTGTTGTTGTTGTTTTTTTGAATTTTTTTTTTTTTTAAATCTTTATTTTTCATTTTCTTTTTGTAATATTCATATTGCGCAATTTTTTTAATTATTTTATTAGTTTTCATTTTTTTTTTTTTTAAATTGTATATTAATATTAAAAATCAAAAAAAAAAAAAAAATCTTTTTATATTTTTAAAAATACAAAAAAAAAAAAATAATTAAAATAAAATTAAAAATTTAAAATGGTGGTTCACTTATTTTTTTGTATTTTGAAATTTTTTTTAAAATTTTCTTTTTTTTGCGGTTATTTTAAAATTATTTAATTTTTTTTGTTTTTTATAAAATTTGTATTTTACGAAAAATGGAAAAGTATACACTTACAGAACAAAATCAAACTAACTACATATCACTCAAAAATATTATCAAAAATGTAAAATAATTATTTCAACGGTGTGTTATAATGTTTATTAATAGTAGTTTTTAAATATTAGGAATTTAATCAAGGGGTTTATTTTTTATCTGGGGATGAAAATAGCGGGAAATTGGCAATAATAGAATCAATATTAATAGATTTTAAAAAAGTTTGCTTGAAATATGATTATAGAGAAGGAAATAAAAATAAAAATATTTTTAATAATAATAATGAAAAATCAGAAAATATAAATATTGTTTTGGTAAGAACTAAATTTAAAATTATATTATATTATTATTGTTAGCACAATATATATTAATTCAGTCAAATTGTTGTTTTCATTCAGTTTATATACCCAGAATACAAAGAAAAATATATTATCGGTTTTGAAAATTTAATCAATAATAACTTTACAAAATTTTTTAAAAAAAAAATATTTATCATAACAAAAAATCATTTACTATTTAAAATTAACTTTCAATATTTTATATATAGTTTTCAAAGCTATCAAGTTTTGGATATTGTAAAAATATTAGAAGAAAACTACGATTTTAATAATGGTGGCGCTATAAAAGAAATCAAAAATATATTAAACATTGAAATCAATACTAAAATACACAATTTTTATTTGAAAGGTTTTATAGAATTTTTATTTTTATATAATTATAAAAATGTTAAAGATATTTTAAATATTGTTAAAAAAAATAATTTTGAAATCATTTTAAATTTAAAATATCAAAAAAATTATGTTTTAACAAAAAATGAAAAAATATTTCTAGTGACTATTTATTCTTTATGTGAATGCAGTAATAGAAAAAATACAAGAGATAAAACAACAATTGGTTTCAATTTAAATTATTATTTCAATATAAAAGAAATTCAAAATGAAGCATTAATATTATTTTGTTTTTTAGAAAAAGAAGATTTCAAAGCCAAATATTATGTAAAAGGTTTATTAGAAAATAATCTTATTTTTGTTGACAATAAAAAAAATATAAAAATAAATATAAAAATAGAAGAAATTAAAGAATATTGTATGGATTTATCATTTTTTCAAAATTTTTTATTTATTAAAGAATAGTATATTAAACAATAAAATAAAATTTAAACTTATTATTCTATCAATAACCAAATTTAAACTTTTGTTTTTTAAAATATCATTGTATGATAAATATTGTATAAAGATTGAAAATATTAATGTTGAAAACGTAAAAAATGTAAAAAATAATATTTTTTTTAATTTTTTTATTGTATTATTATTAAGATTGTTGTTTTTGTTTTTATTATTACCATTGATGACGTTTAATTCTAAATCAGTTTTTTTCTTTTTATATTTATATAAAAAAATTATAAATTTTATACTAATAAACAGATAATTAAATATTAATATCAATGTTATAATTGAAAAAACTATTAAAACAAAGAAAATATTATCTATAAATGTTGTAAAAACAATAAATAAAATATTAGTTATAATATTTAATATTATTAAAGTTTTTTTTAAAAATCCCCAATTAAATAATATAATTTTTTTTTTTTCCAAATTAGAATACCAAAAAATTAAAATCCAATTATATCCAGATAAAATAAAAATAGCGTGCCAAAAAACCAAAACACTATCGATATATAATAAGTTTAGATTAATAATTTGAAAAAAAAATTTAGTTGTTATTAAAAATAAACTAAATAAAATTTGAAAAAAAAATATTGTTTTAATTATTTGTTTTTTTATTGGTATATATGATATTTTTCTAACTGTTACTATTAGTAATATGAAGAATATAAAAAAAAAAAAATAAGAATATATATCACAAAATAGTTTTGATGTTTTTATGTTATTACAACTGCACATGATTATTATTAATGTAGAAAGAAATTTTTTTTTTTTTTTTTGAAAATTATAATTTTTTTATTTAAATTTTTTTTTTTTTTTTGAAAATTTTAATTTTTTTTTTTTTTAATGAGATATTTAATTAATTAATTTTTGAGCAGTAGTTGATGAGTACTTTATTTTTAAAAATATATGTGATATATTTAATTTTTTGAAGTTGAGTTCTTCTATATTTTTTGTAAATATAATAAAATTTAGGTTTAATTTTAAAATATTTTTTATATTATCCGATATGGAATCTGTATTAATAATTATAATTATACTATTATTTTGATTTTGAAATTGCACTTTATTAATGTTTTCTATTAATGTATTAATATCCATTAAGTCAATTTCATTACGGTTAATTTTACTTATCTTATGTAAAAGATTTTTTAAAAACTATCAATATATTAAATTTGGTTAGTAAAAAAAATTATATTAAAAAATATTATATAAAGTATTACATTTAAAGGTTCATCATCATTATCATTATATTCAAAAGTAAAGTAAACTTCTTTAATATTTTCATATAAATCTATGGGTTTTTCATTTATAATAACTAGTTTATAGTGATTTAAAAAATTTTGCAATTTTTCCATATGTATAATAATATTTAAAAAAAAATTAAATAAAATTTTTTTTTTTTTTTTTTTTTTTTTTAAATTTTTTTTTTTTATTCCAAATTGAAATTTTTTTTTTTTTTATTAAAGATTTAATTTTTCATATCAAAATGGAGACAACATATTATTTAATGAATAAACTTAATTGTATTGATAAAGAATTAATACCAAGTATAATATTTTTTGGGGTTAAAAATAATAATTTAATAATTAATAATATTGTTGGTTATGATTTATTTAAAAGATCTTTTTCCTACTCGGTTAAAATAAAATTTATTCCTTTTTTAACAAATTATAAGATTAATGGTAAATTTAAATAGTTTTTTTAAAAATAATACCAAGTTCTAATTTTTTTTTAGATAGCAGTATATATTATAAAAATAATAAAATTTCAGCATCAGAAATTTTAAATATTAATGATAACAACAACAACAAAGAATTAATTTATATTGAAATAGAAAGTAAAAATGGCTATAATCAAAATATATATTTTTTTAATTCCCAACAAGATGAGAATTTTAAAGAGAATTATTTAAACCAAAGTACTATAATTTCGGATGTCAGGGATATCGAAACGGTCAAACAAAATACTAAATCTTATTTAAATGGTGATAAAAATAATAATAATAATAATTTTGAGATGAATTTTAATTCCACGCAATTTCCACTGCAACTAAAAAATATATCACAAATTAAAAATTGTTATGATTTTGCTGAATTTAATATAAACTATTTATATAACAATTATTTTTTCAAAAAAAAAGATCAGATAAAAAATAATTTAAAAAAAAGATTAATATTAAATTATAATAATAATAATACTGATTGTTTTTCAAATTATATGGTTTTATCTAATTTTTCGAATCATTTCAAAATTAATTTCTTAAGTTTATTAGAGAATAAGTTTCCAAATTATGATTTTGAAATTGAACTGAAAGAAGAAATAAAAGAATTTTTAAATAACAAAAAAATTGAGCAAATTTTAATTAATATTAAAACATTTGCAATTGAAAAGGTTATAGAAATAGAGTGCATTAAATTTTTAGACAGTATTTTCGAAAATTTTAGTGGTTATATAAAACAAATATTTTTAGAACTTGAAAATATTATTAAAAAAATTAATTTCGTTTTTTTTTGTGATGATGATTTATTAAAAAAAGAAAATTTTGAAATCCTATTGAAAGATATAAAAAGTGAATATTTAGAATATAAAAAAAAGAAGGAAGTTGAAATATCAAATTATTTTAAAATTTTTTATAATGTTCAAAAAAATAATAATAATAATTATATTTTACAAAAAAAAATGGAAGATTTTCAAAAAATTGAAGATTTTATATTATTATCTATACAAAATAATATAGAGCAATCATTAATTATTATAAAAAAACATTTTATTTCTATTATAAATTATTTAAAAAATGAATTAAAAGAGGATTGTGATTTAAATAATAATTTTTTAAAAAAAGAGATAAAAATATCAAAAGATATTTTCGAATTTGAAAATATTTTAAATTCTTTAAAATTAAAATAATAAAAAAATAAAATTATATTTCAAACCAATCATTTTTTTCATTAATTATAATTTTTTCTACATGATCAGGGATATAATCGAGAAATGAAACATAATTATAAATTATTATTTTTTTAATAGATGATGGTATAACACAGGCTGAAATAGGTTGATTAAAAAAAAAACCAAATATTAATGTTTCTACGGATGGTGGTATTACACCGGCTGATAGAGGTTGATTAAACCAATCGCCAAATATTAATGTTTTTACAGAGGATGGTATTACACCGGCTGAAATAGGTTGGTTAAAAAAAAAACCAAATTTTAAAGTTTCTACAGATGGTGGTATTATACAATTTAGAGCTGAAATAGGTTGGTTAAAATGATTACCAAAATCTATAGTTTTTGAATGTGGTAATAAAATTTTAATAAAAAATTTATCATCATACAGAAATTTAAAATATTTAGGGGATATCTCAAAATTATTATTATACAATTTTAAATCTATTGCAAAATAATTTAAATTCTTTGGTATGTATTTATGTAAATCTTCCAAATTATTTTTATTATCATAAATATAAAGTACTTCTAAAAAGGGTAAGTTTTTGAAATTAAAACAAACATTTGTATGTATCTCTTTTAGAAATAATTTATATTGAAATTGAATATAATTTTTTATATCAAAGTCATCTGTTAAACTATATTTATTTTTTATTTTTTTTAAATGAAAAAATATATTTTTTTTAATAATTAAATTTCTCCATACTTTAAAAAATATTTCCATTTTTTTTCAAAATAATAATCGATGAATTTTTTTTTAAATTTTTTTTTTATTTTTTTTCAAAATTAATTTGATTTTTTTTTTATTAATAAATTTTTTTTTAATAATATTTTAATAATAATTAAATTTTGTTTTTATTTTTATAATAGATTATTATTTTGGTTTAGTTTTTGTAGAATTTTATTTCAATTTTTGCAACTTTTTCTATAGCATTTAACTAATCAGGTAATTTTTACCATGGAGTTTGTCAGGTAAAATTTTTTTACCACGAAGAAGTTTGCCATGGTAATTTTTTTAACCATATTAATTTTTTATGTAAAAAATTTTTTACCATGGCAAACTCCATGGTAAAAAAAATTTTACCATATTAATTTTTATATGTTAAAAAACTGTTTCCTAAAAATTAATATGGTAAAAAACTGTTTCCTAAAAATACATATAAAAATTAATATGGTAAAAAATTTTTACCATGGAGTTTGCCATGGTAATTTTTTTTACCATGGAGTTTGCCATGGTAATTTTTATTTTTTAATTCCATATTATATGTAAAAATTTTTTTACCATGGCAAACTCCATGGTAAAAAATTTAAAAAAAATTTTAATATTTACAATTTATAAGAATAAGGTAAAAATACATCAACGTTCACAAAGCAGAGAAGAGGAAGCCCTGTCACCCTCACAATCCAATTCAAACAGGGATAATAATGAGAAAATGGCGCAGATAGTGCTAGAAAAAAATTTTTGCGAATGATGTTAGAAAACGAAAGAGATCACAAAATATGTATCTTTGGCCAGATCTCAAACAAAAAAAATAAATATTTTTTCAAATAAATATTAAATATAATATATAATTATGGATATAGAATGTTCATAAAAATAAAAACACAATTTTAGTTGAATATTATAAAAAAAGAAATAGATGAAATTATAAATTTAAAAAAAAAAATTAAAAAAAAATAAATATTTAAATTTAAAAAAAAAAAAAAAAAAAAAAAAAAAGTATTTTTCATTAATTTTTTTTATAAATTATTTTTTAACGCTAATAAAACACCAAAATTATCATATAAAAAAATAATATATATTTAAATTAACATTTAATAATGAATAAAGAGGAAAAAAGAGAATTGAATAAAGCATATAAAGATAGTAAAATTCCTGACCTTCGAAAAAATTTACAAATTTTTAAAAATCATTTTGGTTTTTTGGTATTTAACCATATGAATAAACAAATTGTTATAAAAGAAAATATTAGATTAGCAATTAATAAATTACATGAAAGGGTTGGTCATAGAGGCAGAGATTCAGGAAAAAAATTTCTTGACGAAAATAAAATATATATATCATGTTTTTATAAATATTGGAGAAAATATTATAATTGTGAAAAATGGTAATTATTATTTTTTTATTGGCATTTAGTTTTACTTTAAAACATACTGACGATTAATTTATTAATTATAGCCAAAAGAAAAAAGAAAAAAAAATAATTCGAATTTTAAATGCTTTAAAAAATAAAGCACCTGTATATTCAAAGTAAATAAAAGAAACTTTTACTTTTACTTTTAAACAAAAATAGTGACATTTAAAATTTTTTATTTTTTTAAATTTTTATTTTTTTTTAATTTAATATAATTTTTAAAATTTTTTTTTTTTTAAATTTTTAAATTTTTTTTTTAATTTTATAATTTTTTTATTTATTTTCAAAATAATAAACAATGAAAACAAGATTTGCTTATAAAGAAACTTTAGAAAGTTTAAAAAAAGTAGATTCAATATCACAAAAAAAAGTAATATGTGGGGTTGATGTTTTATCAAATGACGGTCAAAACTGGGTTATTCGGTCAGAAAAAGATTTTAAAAAAATAGTTTTGACACTTCACAAAACAGAAAATCACATGCTAGCTCAAAATATTAATTATTATTTTAAAGAAAATGGACTTCAGTTCCCAAATTCAAAAAAAAAATTTTATAAGGTTTATAGTAAATGTAAAGAGTGTATAGAATTTAATAAATTTAGAAATCAAAAAGATATAAAAACACCAACACCAACACCAACACCAACACCAACTCCACTAGTAATGAAACAACAAAATAAAAAAAAAATAAAAATTATAGATGACAGCGAATCTGAAGAGGAAAAAGTCCAAAGAAATAGTAGTTTAAACAAAAAAAAAAAAATAAAAATTATATATCCAGCTGACAGCGAATCTGAAGAAGAAAAAGTCCAAAGAAATAGCAGTAGTTTACCTGAAAGTAATTGGTTGGAAGAAGAACCTGAAAGTAATTGGGAAGAAGAAAAGAAAAAGGCTATTACATCATTATTATATTTTACATCATATGTCGATAGTTTTTTATTAAGAAAAAAAGTTGCAGATAAAAATCTACCATTTGGTTTAAACTTTGATAATGGTTTTTTATGTGATGCTTGTCTTGACTTTATTTTTAATTTAATTCTCTTCAATAATGAACAATATGTTGATTATATGAAAAAATATAAAGTTGTTTTGGTACAAAACATTATAAGAGAACAAGAACAATTATACGAAATTGAAAATAAAATGCTAAATAAATGTAACTATGTCATTCTTTTATCAAATATTATCCATTTCCATTGGAATGTTATTTTTATTTCAAAGTATAGTAAAGAAATAATTATTTTAGAATCATTAAAAAGTAATGAAAATATTCAAGAATATAAATCTGTTTTCAATTTTTTTAAAACTAATGGATCAAGAATAAAAAAAGTTGTTAAAGTTCAAGATGGTAAAAATAATTGTGGTATATACTCAATAGCAAATATTTTTTTATTATTAGATTTTATCAATTATTATCATGACTTAAATATAATATTTTCACAAGCAATTAGTGAACATCTGGATATATTTATTAAACATTATAAATATATTATTAACCCAGAAAATAGAAATGGTTTCAAAAAAATGTATACTATAATTAAAAAAGATTGGAAAACATATAGTTGTTGGGAAAATATAAAAGAAGATTACAAAAATAATATAGAAACAATCATTACTCTTAATATATAAATAAAGCTATTTTAAAAAATAAAATTATATGGAAACAGAAAAATGCATATAAATTTAGGGTATATTATGATTACCAAAAAAATAATGTAATTCTAAGTTTTTTTTTCCCCTATAAAAATTTAACATTTATTTTTTTCTTTCAACCACTTTTTTAATCTTTAGATTTTTATTTTAAAAAATTTTGAGTTGCTAAAAATAACCTTATATTTTTTTAAATTCCAAAACTTTCCTTTTTTGAAATAATATTTATAATTTATAACCGAAAATTTGATTATAATAATAAATTTGATTAAAAAAAAAACTATTTAAATAGAACCAAAATTTTTTTTAATATTAATATTAATTAAAAATTATATAAAATGATTTTAGGTAAAATATATAACTGTTATAAAGATTCAAAATTTATTTATTAATTATTATTTTATTTTTTTTTTTTTTTTTTTAGAAAATATTTCAAATATTTTATCTGGTGCCAATAATATTAAAAAAAATTATTATTCGTCTTATGTTAAAAATGAAACACATTGTAATTCAGTAGTTTCAAATAAAAGTCAAAAATCATATGATGAACCTCATGGTAACATAATAATTGTCTTTCCACCTACCCGTAATGAATATTTTTAAGAAGAAAAAAAATTAAAAACTTCGAAAAATAAAAAAAAAAAAAAAAAAAACTTCGAAGTTTATTATTTATATAATTTTTAAATAAACATTAAAAATCTTATTTTTAAAATAATAATCATAAATATTTTTTATTTTTATTAATATATATTAACAGACTCCAAGTCAGAATTAGAGTTTGAATTATTATTATTATTATTATTTTTGAAAAAAACTGTAGGTGTTTTACTATCAAAATATAAACCAAAATTATCTGGTGCTTTATAGTTTTCGCAATTTGTAAATAATATAATTGTTAAAGATTGTGGTAAATTTATATTTAAATCATTAAAATTCATATTTTTAAATTCTATTTCTTTTAAATTTTTAAATGTGCATTTGTTAAATAATTCTTGAGGGAAGCTTGGCATTTGTAAAGTTAATTTTTTTATATTTTCTTTCCCACTAATATTTATGATTGAATCATTGTTTTGAATAATTTCTAAACTTTCTATGTTTTTTGTAAGAACTATATCAAGTTTGGGAAATGGGTTATACATACTTAAAAGTTTACAATTATGGTTAATATAATTGGTATCTATAACCATTTCAGGTTTAATAATAAATAAGAACAAATATTTAATAATAAGATATGGAGAATAAAAGGGAGCTTGGTTTGAAGTAATAAGTGTATGAGAAGGTTTTGGTTTAAAAAAATAACTATTAATTTTATTAAAACAGGATAACAAATAACTTTCTGAAAAAAAAATATCCTTCGTAATATCAAAACCAAAAAGGTTATTATATAAATTCACTGTTTTATTATTTAAAAGGATGGGACCATATGAAGAATTATTAATAAAAATTTGGGACATTAATTTGGTTCTATTGGCCATTATGCAGTATTATAGAAGAAATATTTTTTAAACTTATGAATGAAAAAAAAATTTTTTAATTACAATAAAAAAATAAAAATTTTTTTTAAAAAAATAAAAATTTTAAAAAAAAAAAAATTAAATTTTTTTTTTTTTTTTTTATAAAAAATGGATATAACACAAATAAAAAAAGATACTATATTTTCAAATTTTTATTTAAAAAACTATAGTTTAACAATTGATTTCTCCGATTTTAATAATGAATGTGAAAAAACAAAATTTATAGAGGACCCATATGGAATGATCAAAAATGTAAAAAAAAAATTAAAATAAAAAAAAAAAAAATTTTTATTAATAAAACATTGTATCAAAAAAAAAAATTTAGATAAAAAAAGAAATTAATTATATGTTGAATAAAACAATAGAGTCTGATAATGATTATGATTTCAAAATCTATTTTTCTGATAAAAAATTTTTATTAGATACAGTCCCATTCAAATTTATTAATAATAAAAATAAAAATTTGGTTTCAACAACAGGTATTGTAATTTATAAAAAAGAAAGAATAGCCTTACAAGAAGGAGTTTTAAAATGTAGAGGCTGTGGTAATTCTGTCAAAATTTACAAAAAAATACCAAATTTGAATAAATGCAATTCTTTTGACACATGTCCAAAAAATAATCCTTATATTTTAAGAGAAGATAAATATTATTCGGAAACCCAATTAAAAATTCAAGAGTTTGATTTAAATAATAATTTTGTTCCAAACAATTTATATTTAATATTTGACTATGATACAGAAATTAAAGTCGGTTTTCAAATTAATGTTATAGGGGTTTTAGATGATCAACAAAAAAATAAAACATTAAATGTATTAGGGTTTTCGGTAAATTCGAACGATATTAGTTATTCATTTGAAAAAAGCGAAGTTGAATTATTTTTAAATATCTCTAAAAACAAAAAATTGGAAGAAATTTTAGTTAATTCAATTGCTCCAGAAGTTTTTGGATTAGAAGATGCCAAAAAATCAATTTTATGCGTTTTGTTTGGTGGTACTCCAAAAACCAATGAAAAAACAAAATTGCGTGGTGATATCCATGCTTATTTTGTAGGACCTCCTGGAACTGCCAAATCACAGTTGTCTAATTTTGTTAAAAATGTATCTCCAATTTCCTATTATACGGTTTCAAAAGGAAATACTAAAGCTGGTTTAACAGCATCAGTTATTAAAAGTAAAGAAACTGGTGAATTTTATGTTGAAGCAGGTGCTTTAGTTCTTGCAGACGGAGGTGTTTTATGTATTGATGAATTTGATAAAATGGATAAAAAAGATAGAGGAAGTATTCACGAAGCAATGGAACAACAATCAATTATCATTTCAAAATCAGGAATTAAAAGTTATTTAAATTGTCGAACATCATTATTTGCCACTGGTAATTATAGTAAAGATACATTTGGAATTGAAACATCATTATTATCTCGTTTTGATATAATTTTAAATATAAATAATAATAATAATAATGATCAAAGTAATGACGAGTTTATAAAAAATATTTTTAAACATCACAAAGAATCAAAAAATAATATTGATCAAAAAAAATCAAAAAATTATATTATTAACGAAAATGATGATATGTTTTATAAAGATGGTCAAATAGAAAAAATATCTCCTTTATTTTTAAAAAAATATATATCTTATTGTAAATGCAAATATTTCCCAATTTTTTCAAGTGATGAAGCTAAAAATCATTTAAAAGATTTTTTTGTAAAAATAAGAAACCCAGATAGCAGCAGTAGCAGCAGGACAAAAAGACATCGTGTGAAGGATAATAATAATAATATTGTAATAACATATCGTCAATTAGAAACTTTAATACGAATTTCAGAATCGCAAGCAAAAATGCACTGTAGAAATGTAGTTGAAAAAATAGATGTGGAAAAAGCAATTAAAATTTTTTCTGCAACTACTCTAAATTGTTATAAAAATATTTAATATTTATATATTTTATTATAAAATTCTTTTTTAATAAATTTTTTTTTTAAACCTTCTATTCTTTTAATTGGTTGTTGTTTTATCAATAATTTTGAATAAAATATTGATGCATTTTGTGCATCAGAAAGTTTAACATCTTCTCTATTGCAAAGTTTTGCGAAAGATTCTGTTATACGAATTAATGATTTATATTGTCTATTATCTTTAATAAATTTTTCTTTTTTTAAAAATTTAAAATAATATAATAAATATTGTTCAACTTCGGTACTAATTTGTTTTGTTTCTAGCTTTCTGCAATTTATAATATAGTTTATAAATTCTTTATCTACATTATTTTCATTGTTATTATTTTTATTTGGATGCCCTTCTACATGCGATGAAACTATTTTATTTGCCATTTGACGATTATGTTGTACCGTATATTTATCTTTAACTATGTTTATAATATCAAATCTTGATACGAACTCACTTGATAAATCAATATTTTCTTCCAAAGAAAATAAATTATCATATTTTTCTTTTTTTGGATTACCAATAGCTATAATTGATGGTTTAGTTTTAAGGGAGAATTTATTTTGAGATTTTGTAATTGAAATTGTTTGTTGTTCCATAACTTCTAAAAAACTTTCATTAATATTTTTTTTTTGTTTATCGATTTCATCTATAATTAAAAATCCTTCATTTGCTAAAACAAATGCACCAGGTAATAACACACCATCATTTATTGAAGACATAAGCCCAACTGAAGATACACCAACACTACAGTAAACAAATGGAAATGATTCAAAACGTTTTAAACAATTAATTAGATTTGTTTTACCGACACCAGGATCTCCAATAATTAAAATATGGATTTTATTTCTTGAAAAAATCGAATTATCATTTTGATTAATTTTTAAAGTTGATCCAACTATTGATAAAAGTAATGAAAGTTTTAATTTTTTTAAACCAAACATAGAAGGAGCGAAAGAGGAAATTAATTTTTTAATAATATCATCATTATTATTATTGAAATAAATTTGTGGTGATCCATTTGTGATGATTTTATTAATGTTTTTTAATTCATACGATTCACATTTAATATAATAGTTAAAATATGGAAAATATTTTGATGATTGCTTTATTTGAAATTGACCTTCAACTGTAATAAATGAACCAACTGTAATTTGATCATCATATAAATCTATATTATCTATTACAGTTTTAATAGTATTTCTATTTATAAAATTTTTTTCATTTTTTGCTTGAATAAAAATATTTATATATTTTGAATATTTTGATTTTTCTTGAATAACCAAAATCGTATCTTTCTTACATTCTTTACATAAAATTTTACCTTTTGGTGGATTTTCAATATTTTTTTCATCTTTGCAAGTTAAGCATTTGAAAAATATATTTGAAAATAATTTTTTTTCATTTGAAATTTTAATAATAATACCAGATATTTTTTGATAACTATTTATAAATTTTATACTTCTTTTATATACAGTTTCATTTTCTTGAAAATTTTTTACTTTTAAAATAGTATCCCAAAAACAACTGTGAAAAATACAAATTAATATTCTTTTAAATAATGATTTTAATATTTTTAAATGATAAAAATAATTTTTTTTAAAATATTCTTTTGAATTTTTATCAAAATTACTAAATAAAATAAAAATAATTTTTTTATTTGAAACAATATTTCTGAAAATATATTTATAATTATTAAATAAAGTTTTCAAATGATATAGTTGAATAGTAATAGGTATATTTTCAATATCTTCGCTACCATCTTCAATTTCTTCGCTACCATCTTCAATTTCTTCTAATAATAAAGAATCAATTAATTGATTTGTACTTTTTAAAATTATATCCTGATTTATAAAAAAATTACTATTATTTTTTTTTATAAATAAAAATATATTTTCGAATTTTTTTTTTAATTCCTCAATTTTATGGCGAAATAATATCAGTTTTTTTTTTCCTTCATCCCTTTCTTTATAATCTTCATAGTCTCCTATTTCGTCTGAAGTTTCTTCTTCATAATCTCTTTCGTTACCATCAATTTCTATTTCTTCAATTTCTATTTCTTCAATTTCTTCGCTACTATTTTCAATTTCTTCGCTACTATCTTCAATTTCTTCTTCTTCAATTCTTATTTTTTTTAAAGCCCTTTCTTTTTCTATTTGGTCTCCGATCAATTTCATATTAGTAATATTTTGTTCTTTAATTTTTTCTTCATCTTCATCATCAAAACTATCATCTTCATAGTCTCCTATTTCGTCTGAAGTTTCTTCTTCATAATCTCTTTCGCTACCATCTAACTCTGCAGAATCTTCAAATATATTATCCATCTTTTTGATTAATTTTTAAATATATGAAATTTTTTTTTAAAAATTTTTTTTTAAAATTTAAAAAATTTTATGCTTTTTTTTTTTTTTTTAAAATTTAAATAGTGACTATTTTTAGTTTTTTTTATTTTGTATATCTTTGTTACTATTTTTTAGTTCTTTTAAAAATGATTTAAATTTGCAAACATTTTTTAAAAATAAATTGAAAAAATTTTTTTTTTTTCTAATTTTTTTATTTTTTTATTTTTTATAATTTTTAAAAATTTTTTTTTTTTTTAATTTAGGAAACAACATGTTAAAAGTCAAAACACTCTCAAAAAATGCAACAGAACCAAAAAGAGCAACCGAAAATGCTGCAGGTTATGATCTTTCAAGGTAATTTCACCTTCAAAAGTAATATATTATTTAGTTCTATTATTAATAAAACTTCGTTATCAATATATTTTTAGTGCTAAAGAGTTAGTAGTGCCTCCAAATAGCAGCGTAGAGGTTTCTACAGATCTTCAAATTTTGCTGCCTTTTGGTACATGTGGTATATTAGCACCAAGATCAAGTTTAGCATTGAGAGGTATTAACATTTTTTGTCGTATTATAGACCAAGATTTTATTGGAAATGTCGATATTTTGGTTATCAATAATTCTGGTATAGATTTCAAGATTAATGTTGGTGACAAAATCGCTCAATTAATTTTAGAAAAAATCGTATCACCAGATGTAGTGGTTGTAGATGCTTTATAATTATTTTTAAGAAATAAAACATAAATTTTTTTTATAAAAATTTTTTTTTTTTTTTTTTATTTAAAAATTTTTATTTTTTATTTTTTTATTTTTTATTTTTCATAAAAATGAGTTCAGAGTTAAGAGTTGAAAAAATTTCAGATATTGCCACTGAACCACAACGTGTTACAGAAACTTCAGGTCGTTATTATTTATATAGGTAATAAAATTTAGTTTTTTTTTTAAAAATAATTATTATTAATTACAAATTATTATAGTGCCAAAAATTTAATTGTACCAGCTGGTGGTACAGCCTTAGTACAGACAGATATTAAAATGGCAATTCCAAAAGGTTCATATGGTAGAGTTATCCCATTAATAAATTTATTTTTGAATTTTTCAATTTCTATTGGTGGTGGTGTTATTGACAGTGACTATAGAGGAAATGTTGGTGTTATATTTACCAATAATTCTAAAAATGATTTCAAGATTAATGTTGGTGACAAAATCGCTTATATAATTTTTCAAAAAATCGAAACACCACCTGTAGTGGTTGTAGATGTTTTAGATAGAACAGAAAGAAACGATGGTGGCTTTGGTTCCACAGGTATTTAAATATTTTAAAGAAAATTTTAAATAAAAAATAGAAACTACTTAACCAAAATTTAAAAGTTTTTTTTAATATTGTTTTTAAAATAAAAATGCTTCATTAGCTCAGCTGGTAGAGCAAAGTACTTATAATATAGTATGTTATGCTTTGGTCCCGAGTTCAAACCTCGGATGGAGTAATTTTTAAATATTTATTTTCAAAGCAGCCAGTTTTTTGGTCTCTGGTATATTTATTTTTTAATTTCTTTAAAATTTTGAAAAAAAAAAAAAAAATATTTTGAAAAGTTTAAAAAAAAAAAAAAATTTTAAAAAAAAGTTTAAAATTTTAAAAAAAAAAATGATATCATATAACAATCAAATATATTTGGATATAGATGATATATTAGCACAGGAACAGGTAATATATTTAATAATATTAAAAAAATAGATATAATATTAATTAATATCAAAAGAAAATACCATGTGTGTTTTTATATAAAGCTTATAAATTAGGGTCGTTGATTGAAAAAAAAAAAGAAATTAAATATAAATTAGAAATTAAATGTACACATCATCCAAATTATGATATTACATCAAAATGTATTAATTGTAATCAAGGTGTTTGTTCAGTTTGTATGTCAGAGTTACATAATGGCCATTCCTTTTCTTCAGAAAGTTTAAATTTAGAAATTATATGTATACATCATCCAAATTATGATATTACATCAAAATGTATTAATTGTAATCTAGGTGTTTGTTTAGTTTGTAAGTTAAAGTTACATAAAAGACATTCATTTTCAGAATTAAATAACAACATGTCGTCAGAAGATACAGATATTGAAAAAGATACAAAAATAAAATTACCATACTGGTTAGCATATGTATTGGCAAAGAAGAGTTTGGTTTCTGTTGAAATACCAAATCCCTACAAAGATGAACATTCTTTTACAAATAGATTACTGGCCGATCCAAAAGAAGTCTCAATGATACACTACCCATATTACGCTAGCAGTGGTACTAAAATATCATCACTGTAAGTATTTTTTTATTTTATTTTTTTTATAATATAATATTTATTTATTTTTTTTTCAGTTTTTCAGATCACAATTTAAAATTATTTTTATTAAATATTTTTAAAAAAAGATATTTATATATTTATAATCAAGCATCATTTTTAAAAGATAATAGTATGATTACAAAAATCCTTGGTAATATGACACAATTTGAAAAAAGGCTTTTTCAAGAGATACATAAATCATTTGTAGATTTTGAAAATTGGAAAATCTCTAGTGATAAAATCGAAAAAAATTACTATTTATACCCAATAGAAAGTAACATTAATTCAGCAAAATCATCACCAAATAAAAGAAAAAGATTAATTTTTGCAAATTGAAATAATTAAAATTTATTAATTTTTATTTAAAAAACTCTTCTCCTAAGCATAAATATCTGTATAATGAGTTCTTTTCATTTTTTATCTATTATTGCAACAAGTATAGGGGTTATTTCTTGAAAAATTAAAAGTTGTTCTTCAGTAAAACCAACATATGTTATTTGTACCATTTTTAAAAATTTAAAAATTTAAAAAAATAAAAAATAAAAAAAAAATTAATTTTTTGTGATAGACCATTATTTTTTTTTAAAAAAAAATTTAAAAATTTTTGATAACGATTATTTTTTTTTTTTAAAAAAAAATGGATGTTATAATTAAAAAAAAAAATACAGATGTTTTTACAATTAAAAGTAACAACCTCCTGGAGATATCAAAGATACCACCAAAAATAAAAAAACTAGAGTTTTGTGACAATTTTGACCAACCTCTATCTGTAGGTTTTATTCCATCATCAGTGGAAATACTAAAGTTTGGTAAAAATTTTAATCAAAGTATATTACCCAATGTATTACCAAATAGTTTAAAGGAATTGGAATTCGGAGATAAATTTAATAACTTTATCAACAAAGAGAATTTACCATCATCTTTAGAAACACTAATATTTGGTAAAGATTTTAGTTTGCTGATCCTCGAAGGCCTTCCAGATTCTATAACAAGACTAGAGTTCAGTGATAATTATAATCAAATTATTTATGAAGAATTTTTACCCAAATCAATAAAAATATTAAATATTGGCAACTTTTGTGATTCTTCTATACCACACACCGTTAAAAAATTAAAATTAGGAAACGAATTCAATCAACCAATACAAGAAAATTATCTACCAGAAAATTTAGAAATATTAGTATTTGGCGATAACTTTAATCAATTTATTAATGAAGAATATTTACCAAAGTCTTTAATATCTTTAACATTTGGTAGAGATTTTAATCAAATTATTTCCGTTAAACAACTACCATCATTAACAACATTAATTTTTGGTAGAGATTTTAATCAAATTATTTCCGTTAAAGAACTACCATCATTAACAACATTAACTTTTGGGAAAAACTATAGAAAAGATTTTTCAGATAAAAACTATTTCCCAAAATCATTAAAAAATTTTAAATATTACTCTCCTTACATTGCTGAATTAGAGCCTGTTCTCCCTGAAAACATTTCTTGCCTTAATGTTTCAATAGATAGCAATAATTTAAATACTTTAGATATGTATACATATAGGATTACTCATTTGATTCTAGAAGATTTTAACCAAGATATTGAACAATTTACATTGCCAAATAATTTAAAATACTTAAAATTTGGAGATAATTTCAACTCACTAATTAATAGAGATGCAATACCAAAATCATTAAAAACTCTAAAATTTGGAAAGAGTTTTAACCAACAACTAAACTTTTTGCAGATAGACCGACGTTTAGAAGTTTTAAAATTTGGAGATAATTTTAATAGAAAAATAGAATTTAAATTACCAAATACAATCAAAAAATTAACATTTGGTAAAAACTATAACCAAAAATTTATTCTTAAGCTACCTGCTTATTTAGAAAAATTAGTATTGGGTGAATCTTTTAATTATAAAAAAAATATTAATGATTCAATACCCGATTCAACTAAAATCCTAGAGTTTTGTTGCAGCCCAGAAAAAAAATTAAATATAAATTTTAATAATTTTAGTATTCCAAAAAGTATTGAAGTTCTAAAAATTGGTATTTATATAAATATACAAGTTTTAAAAAAAGCTATTAATAACTCTAATCTTAAACAAATAAATATTGCGGAAATAGAATATATAATAGAAAAAAAAAATAATAAAGAAATTAATACTGATAATAATAATAAAGAAAATAATATAAAAGATAATAAAGAAGATAATAAAGAAGATAATAAAGAAATTAATACTGATAATAATAATATAAAAGATAATACTATAGAAAATAATAATACAGATAATAAAGAAATTAATAATACTATAGAAAATAATAAAGAAGATAATACAGAAGATAATAAAGAAATTCAACATAAAAAAAGAAAAATATAAAAGTTTTTTTTATTTAATTAAAAAATTTAAATAAATTTAATATATTTAATATATTTATATTTTCATTATTATTTTTTTGAAAAATAAATTCTTTCCATACTATAATAACAATAATTATTATTGAAAAAGTAACTAGTTTTTTTAAAATATCAATTATTAAACTAGAATATCTAAATAAAATTAATATTATTAATAAAGAGTAAAAATAATTATTTAAATTATTTTTTATTAAAACCCAGTTGCATAATATTATTTCTTCTTTTAATAAATCATCTTCTTTATTTGAATATAAAACTTTAAACTCTTTAATACTAAAGTTTTTACACTGATCTCTTATATTTAAAACTAATGCATTATTACATTGTTTAAATTCTGAATATGTTGTGGTTGATATTTTTGTATTATTTTTACATTGAATATAATAGTTTTCTTCTATGATAGAAGAATAATTAATAAAATAAAAATTAAATAAAAAATTTAAAAAAATAAAAACTACAATCAAAATAAATATTAAATAATTTATTAGTTTCATATTTTATAACAATAATAAAATGAAAAATTTTAAAAAAAAAAAAAAAATTAAATATTAAAAAAATTTTAAAAAATTATTTTTTTTAAATAATATTTAAAAAAATTTTAAAAAAAAAAAATTATTTAATAATAATATCTTTTAAAATAATAATTGTTTATTATTTAAATGGGTGGTGTCTTTAAAAATATATTTTGAATTAATAATTTCTTTAACTTCTTTAAAATCTATAGATTCAACTTCATTACTACATCTTAATTTGGCATTTGCTTCACATAAACGAATAATTGATTCTAAATAACGAACTGTAAGATGAGGTCTGATATTTCTTTCCAAAACATAGTAATTCACTATTTCTTTTCTAACTTCTTCGTTTAATAATGGATTGAAATTTTGTTTTACTATATCAATATAATTAAGTATTAGATCATACTCATCATCATCATCATTAATATCATCCTCATCATTACTTTTAAAATTAGAATGATTATTAATAATGTGTGTTGCTGCTAATCTATCATATTTTTGATGAGGTTTATCATAAATTCTTAAAATAATATCAAAACGAGATGCAAGTGGAGCACTTATTGTAAAAGGATTTGCAACAGCAAAAACTGAACAACGAGCATTTAAAGATGAATGAATACCTGCTTTTGAAATGGTTACTGTTTGTTGCTCCATTGGTTCCAAAATACTTTCGTAATTCTTTTTATCCATTTTATCAAATTCATCAATACATAAAACACCTCCGTCTGCAAGAACCATAGAACCTGCTTCTAAATAGCTTTCATACCCTTCTTTTATAATTGAGGCAGTCAGCCCAACCTCTGAGGAAGAAGATCCACTTGCTAAAACTGTATTTTTATTAATATGTGGTATAAATCGTAATAGTTGTGATTTTGCTGTACCAGGATCTCCTATTAATAAAATATGAATATTTTCTCTTTTTTCCATTTGTTTAATTTTCTTCTTTGAACCACCAACTAACAATAATATTATTGATTTTTTTATTATGTCTAATCCATAAATAGCTGGTGCAAATTTTTCTACTAAATATTGAACAGTGAAAGTTTTATTAATATTTTCTATAACTTTATTATTAATATTATTGTTTTTTTTTGAAATTTCTATTTTTTCAAATCCATAGAAATACAACACTATTTTAAAAATATTGTTTTCTGATATAATCTTAATAACTCCATATATATTAACAATATCACCAGGTTTTAAAAAATCACACCAATTTTCATTTTCAATTATTACTTCAATTGATTCTGGACTATGACCAATAGGAATATCTTCGTTTATATCTCTTAAAATAATGGTTTGAGTTTGAAACAAATTTGATGAACCCCAATCAACATGAATTTCATTACCATTAATATCATTAGTAGGTATTGCTTGATTATTTATTTGATCAACATCTATTTTAAATTTTTTAAACATCAACACAGGTTTTTTAATTTCTGTAATTAATACAAGTTCAGTTGCTTTAAAATTTGGTAAAAAACCTAATTTTTTTAAAAAAATACTTTAGTTTATTTGTTTATATAATAAATACATTTGAAGGAATAATAAATACATTTTGAAACTACCCCTTTTAAACATACATATTTATTTGAATGTTTTGTTCTAATATTTCTTGGGGATAAATAATATTTACCAAATGAATCTTTCCCTTTGAAACTAAAAATTGTTTTTTTTTCCTTAAAGATTTTTTCTTCATCAGTTTCAGGATTTCTTTTATCATTCCATTCTTTAATTTTATTTTGCCTTTTATTATTTAAAAAATAGTTTATTATTTCTAAATTATTATAAGGGTCTTGTTTAAAAGCTCTAATAAAATTAATAATTTAATTTTTTTTAAATTTTTAGTTATTTTACTTACTTATATAATTCTTTGTTTTTAATAAAGAGGCCATAATCTAGTGTATAATCACTTAATAATAATTCATCATTATTTTTGTAATATTTATCAAAAAAATCATCAAATAAATCATAAAATTTTTTATTAAAATCGCATTCTGTATCTGTATAAAATTTATTATAAAATTTTTTATTAAAATCCATTTTGGTACCAAATATATTTTAAAAAAAATTTTCGAATATTTAAAATAAAAAAAAAAAAAAAAAAAAAAAATTTTCATTTTTTTTTAAAAAATTTTTTCTTTTGTTTAATATTTTTGTGCACGATACTAAAAATAAAACTTGTTTATTTATAGCAAAAAAATTCATTTCAGAAAGGAGATTGTCCCCCCCATTGAAAATATATATTTTCAATCAATTTTATTTTGATTTTTTTTTATAATTTTTATTAAAATTTTTTTTTTAAAAATAAAATTAACATATATTTTTTTTTGAAATCTGATTTTTTTTTTTTATTTTTTTTTTATTTTTTTTAATTTTCAATATGGAACAACAAAACAAAATGGATAAATTATTTTTTGGTATATGGAGAAATGTTTATTTAAATGATCAAATTTTTCAGCATTTAAAATTAATAAAAAAAAATATTTATATTAAATTAAATAACCAAGATGATTTTAAAAATTTAAAATTAAATATTTATTATCCATTCGTTGTTGAACTGCATACAAAAATTTATTTTAATTTTGATGCATTACCCAACCTATATCGTTTACAAATAGAAAATAAAAATAATAGTTATAATAATATTTTAGAAATAAAAATACCTCAGTCAGTTAAAGAATTAATATATAATTTGGATTCTTGTATAAAAATATCCTCATCCTCTGTAGAAACATTAATATTTGGTTTTAAATTTAACCAACCTCTATCAGCCGGTGTAATACCACCATCCGTAGAAACATTAATATTTGGTGAAGATTTTAATCAACCTCTCTCAGCCGGTGTAATACCATCCTCTGTAAAAAAAATAATATTTGGTGAATATTTTAATCAAATAATTACAAAAGATGTTTTGCCATGTTCAATTAAATACTTAGTTTTTGGTAATAAATTTAAAAAAGAGGTTTTTTTACCAGAATCTGTAAAAAAAGTGTATTTTGTCAATAATGAATATGATTTGGGTTTATGTGTTTACAACAAAAATAAAACAATTTTAGAAATTAATAATAAAAAATTAAAAAAAAGAAAAAGAGAATAAAAAAAAAAAAAAAAAATTTTTAAAAATTTTTTTTTTTAATTTTTCAAAATTTTATATATTTTTTATTTTATATTTATTATATATTTTATTTATATTCTTTATTTTTTTTTTTAAACAATAATGTTTGAAATTAATAGTTATATAATAAAAATTTCAAATAAAGAAAAAAAAGTATATGAAAAAAAAAAAAAAAATTTAAATAAAATTTTTTTTAATATCGAAAATGATATTGATATTTACTTAAAAAATAATAATTTTTGCTTTATGAATTTATATTGCAAAAAAAATTTAGAAATTGTAAGAGGTTATATAGATGATTTAAAAATAAAAAACAATTCAAAATTTCAAACCAAAAAAATTTATAGAGAGTTTATAGTCAAACAAATTTATCAAGTGCATAACGATATATATTTATATATCAATTATTTTTTTGGTGTACTAAAAAAAATTTCAATTTTTTTAAATATTAATTTAAAAAATAATAAAACAAAATTAATAGATTTAATAAAAGAAATAAATTATTTAGATAATGGAAAAAAAAAATTATATGCAAATATAATTTTGGATTTAGAGTATCTGTTTTCCATTATAAGATTTGATGCCTACTTTTTTTATATGAAACATTCTACTAATAATAATAAAAAAGATATAATATGCATTACTGGACTGACTATTAATAGACTATTAAGATTGGAAAATGAAATTAGAAATAATTTATTTATTATGAAAAATAATAATAATTTTAACAATATAATAAAAACAATTATTATTTTTTTTATTAATCATCTAAAAAAAATAAACTTTTTATCCTAATTAATTTTTAGGGTTTTAAAATATTTGTGGTAGTGGGTTTTTTTTTTTTTTTTAATTTAAAATTTTTATTTTTTTATATTTTTTATTTAATTTTTTTTATAGAAATTTTTACGTTTTTATTATTTTATTATTTATTTAATTACTTTTGTGGAACAACAAAAAAGAAAATGGAAAAATATTTATTTTTCAAAGTTTGGAATAATAAATATCTAAGAAAATATATTCAATTATATATTATATTTACAAAGGTTAATATTTTAAATAAAAATGAATTAACATTGTATAAAAATATATCTTCAATAAAATTCAATGAAAATTTTAATAATGAACTTTTAAAAAATAATATTATTCCTAATTATGTTTTAAAAATAAAATTTAATTCTTCATTTAATGAACCTATTTCAGACGGTGTAAATTGTATAATACCACCATCTGTAGAAAGATTAATATTTGGTTTTTTTTTTAATCAACCTATTTCAGCTGGTGTAATACCACTATCCGTAAAAAAACTTAAATTTGGTAATAAATTTAATCAACCTCTATCAGCCGGTGTAATACCACCATCCGTAGAAACATTAATATTTGGTGAAGATTTTAATCAACCTCTATCAGCCGGTGTAATACGATCCTCTCTAAAAACATTAATATTTGGTCATAAATTTAATCAACCTCTATCAGCCGGTGTAATACCATCCTCTGTAGAAACATTAACATTTGGTTTTTATTTTAATCAACCTATTTCAGCTGGTGTAATACCATCCTCTGTAAAAACATTAACATTTGGTAATAAATTTAATCAACCTCTATCAGCCGGTGTAATACCACCATCCGTAGAAACATTAATATTTGGTCAAGATTTTAATCAACTTCTTTCAGCTGGTGTAATACCATCCTCTGTAAAAAAAATGAATTTAATTTATCGCAGTTTAAATATTGGCAGTATTCCACCGAATGTTAAAAATTTATTTTTGGAAAGAAATGGAAATATAATAAAAAATTATAAAAAATTAAAATTATCTTCATCATTAGATATTTTTTATAATGAACAATCATCATCATCAGGATACTTTGATATTTTTTTTAATCATAATCAAATTTTTTCAGCCGGTGTAATAACACAACCTTATGAAGATAATTCAAATGAAACCCTCTCAGCCGGTGTAATTCCAAGTTCTGTTGAGATATTAGAATTTCATAATTATAACAAACCTTTATATAATAATGTATTGCCTGAATCATTAAAAAAAATAGTTTTTGGATATAATTTCAATCAAATATTTTCTATTGGATCTTTACCAAAAAATTTAAAAAAATTAATTTTTTCAAAGAAATTTGGGTCCTCATTCAATCAAAAAATTTTTGAAAATGTGTTACCAGAATCACTAGAAGATTTAATATTTGGAGATGCTTTCGATCAACCAATTTTACCAAATGAATTACCACCATCAATAAAAGTTTTAAAGTTTGGTAACAATTTTAATCAAGAATTAATATCTGGTGTAATTCCAAAATCTATAGAAATTTTAGAGTTTGGATATAGTTTTAATTATCGAATAATTGATATGATACCACCATCAATAAAAGTTTTAAAGTTTGGTAACAATTTTAATCAACCTATTTCATATAATGCTTTTCCAAATTTAGAGTATATTGAATTTGGTCATAAATTTAATCAACCTCTATCAGCCGGTGTAATACCATCCTCTGTAAAAACATTAATATTTGGTTATTGTTATAATCAACCTATTTCAGAGGGTGTAATACCACCATCCGTAGAAGCTTTGATATTTGGGGAATATTTTAATCAACCTCTATCAGCCGGTGTAATACCATCCTCTGTAAAAACATTAATATTTGGTTATTCTTATAAACAACCTATTTCAGCCGGTGTAATACCATCCTCTGTAGAAACTTTGATTTTTAACTCTGTATTTCCTCAAACTATATTGCCTAATGTGTTACCGACTTCAATAAAATATTTAAAACTTGCTGATAGTGAACAACCCATTGAAAGTTTATTACCAAACTCACTAGAAATATTAGAATTTGGCAAAAATTTTAACCAAAAGTTTTTAGGAGGATATTTATTTCCAAATTTAAAAACTATAATATTTGGAACAGAGTTTACTCAAGAGAATTTAGAATTACCTTATTCAGTGGAAAAAATAATATTTCATAAAAAGTTAAAAATATTACCTTTCCTTCCAAAATCTGTAAAATATATAGAATTTGAATATAAAAAAATACCAAATTATATAATAGAAAATGTTTGTTTAAAAAATAATATATATCATAAATATTTGAAAAAATATTTTAAAAAATTATCTCTTAGTGTGTATTAAAAAAAAAAAAAAAATATGTTGCGCTCATGCAAACGTAAAACAATAAATACAAAAGATATCACAAACCTTAAATACAATATCAAAAAATAAAAATAAAAAATTAAAAAAAAATTAAAAATTAAAAATTAAAAATTAAATTTTTTTTTTAAAAATTAAATTTTTTTTTAATCTCTTCATTATTATTTTTATCTTTTGAATTATATATGGCAAGAACAAAACAAACTGCTCACAAGTCTACTGGTGGTAAAGCTCCAAGAAAATCATACTCTTCTAAAGAACTTCCAAGTTCAAAAAAAGTTCATCGTTATAGACCTGGTACTGTAGCACTAAGGGAAATTCGTAAATACCAAAAAGGTTCAGAGCTTTTAATTAAAAAACTACCATTTCAAAGATTAGTAAGAGAGATAACTGATGATATCAACAGAACAACAGCAAATATCAGATATAAGTCTACGGCTCTACAAGCCCTCCAAGAAGCATCAGAAGCTTATCTAGTAGAATTATTTGAGGATACTAATCTATGTTGCGCTCATGCCAAACGTTTAACAATAAATATAAAAGATATGAAATTAGCTCTTAGAATTAGAGGTGACAAACCTTTAAATACATATTAATTTATGACAAGAAATAATTATTAAAAAAAAAAAAGTTTTTTTTAAAAATAAATAATTTTAATATTTCTAATTTGTAATTTATTTATTATTTTACTTTCAATCTTTTAAATTTCTGTAATATTCTGCAGTTTCTGGATATATTTTTGAATTTAAAGGGAAATCTTTATCACAGATGCATATATAACCTAAAAGTTTAACGTGGACTTTAAATTGATATTTATATTCGAAACCCAACATTTCAAAATTATAAGTAGAATCACAATTTTGTGATATTCTATTATAAAACCATTTTTCTTTTTTCATTAAATAATCTTTTGAAAATCCTTGTACATGTTTTGCCATATTTATATTGTTTTATTTTTTTAATGATGATTGTTTAAAATTTTTATTTTTTTATTTTTATTTTTTTTTATTTTTATTTTTTTTTAAAATTTTTATTTTTTTTAAAATTTTTTATTTTTTTTTTTAATACCTCTTGATACACTAAAAGATAATTTTTTAAATAATGCCAAATAATCAAAAATATAATACTAAATGTTTAGTTCATCCCGAATGCTTAAATTGTCCAAACAACACTCCTGAATGCCCTAATTGTCCAATCAACACTCCTGTATGCCCTAATTGTACAAATATTCACAATGGTCATTGTTTTGAAGATAAATAGTTTAATTATTTTTAAATAAAAATAGTTTAGTTTTCAATTTCAACATCACTGTATGTTGCATCAAAGACTTTTTTATTGCTTTCTTTTTTTTCATTTTCTTAATTAATTTTTTTTTCTATTATAATATTTTTTTAAAATTGCAAAAATAATTATTTTTTTTAATTTTTGTAAAAAAAAAAATATATTTGTTTTATAAAAATAAATAAATTTATTTAATGCGTTAAAATTTTTAAAAAAAACAATTTAGTTGTAATAAAAAGAATTTATTTTTTTTTCCCACCAAGTCTTATAATTTTTTCTATACTCAATACAATGATTTTGAGGATTATTTTTTAAAAAATACTCCATGTTGGGATTATCTTTGTCAACGATAAAATATCCTAGATCTGGAATGTTTTCTATTGTTTGACTGAAATTTTTGCCAATTGTAATCATCCAAATATTTGAATTTGGGATAACATTTTTCATTATGGGTTGGTTAAAGTTTTCTCCAAACTCTATTTTTTCCAGTTTTTTGGGCAATACATTAACATCTAGGAGTTGATTAAAACTATTTCCAAATATTATCCATTTTATTTCTTCTGGGAGTGAGTTTTGAGGTATTTCTTTATTAAATTCATCATCAAATATTAAAAACTCGGTACAGGGTGGTATATCTATAAAACTATTGTTTGTTTTAAAAACAAAGGTATTTTCTATTTTGATTGCCCTTAGCATATTTCAATTTTTATAAATGTTTTAAATAGAAAAAAAACAAAAGAGTTAAAAATTTAAATATGTATTAAAAAATATGAAGTTTTAAAATGGATATTTATAATTTTAATTTATTATGAAAAAAAATTTTAAAAAAAAAAAATTAAAAAAAAAAAAAAATTTAAACATAGTAAAAATTTTTTAATTTTTTTTTAATTTTTTTTTAATTTTTAAATATTTTTGCAATGCATACTTTTGTTTTTAATAATAATAATAATTTTATAGATATACCACCCTGTACCGAGTTTTTAATCTTTGATGATGAATTTAATAAAGAAATTCCTCAAAACTCACTCCCAGAAGGAATCAAATGGTTAAAATTTGGAAAGAAATTTAACAAATCCCTTGGTGTTAATGTATTGCCAAAAAAACTAGGAAAAATAGAGTTTGGAGAAGACTTTAATCAATCAATAATGGAAAATGTTTTACCAAGTACCATTTGGTATATTAAAATTGGTAAAAAATTTAGTCAAACATTAGAAAATATACCAGAAAACACTGCAAAAATTGATATCGACGAACATAATCCGATAAAAGATTATTTAATAAATAATAATAATAGTATTTTTTGTATTAAAACTTTTGTTTTTAATAATAATAATAATTTTAAAGATATCCCGCCATCTACCCAGTATTTAATCTTTGATGATGAATTTAATAAAGAAATTCCTCAAAACTCACTCCCAGAAGGAATCAAATGGTTAAAATTTGGAAAGAAATTTAACAAATCCCTTGGTGTTAATGTATTGCCAAAAAAACTAGGAAAAATAGAGTTTGGAGAAGACTTTAACCAACCCATAATGGATCTATTGCCAGAAACCATTTGGTATATTAAAATTGGTAAAAAATACAAACACAAAATACCAAAAAACATTATAGTTATTGAAATAGTTTAAAATAAAAATTTTATTTATTATTTAGATCTCATAATAATTATTTTTTTTTTAATAATTTTTTTTAAAATTTTTTTTAAAATTTTTTTAAAATTTTTTTTTTTTTTCATTCCGCACAAATATATTTATAAATATTACACAAATAAAATGACTTTTTCAGAACCACAAAATACCACAGAATATAACCAAATCTTTGCTTCTGCCGATGTTGCTATTGTTTATCTTACTGCAACTTGGTATTTATATTTTAAAAAAAAAAAATTTTTAAATGATCATTATCTAATTTCAATCTATAAAATAAATCAGGTGTGGCCCATGCAGAGCAATTGCTCCAATCTTTTCAAGACTTGCTAATGAAAACCCAGAAATTGCTTTTATTAAAGTTGATGTTGATAAATGCCATGATTTACCACTTGCCTCAAGTGTCACTGGTGTCCCAACTTTTGTTGCTTTCAGAACTAAAGTCGAAGTTGATCGTAAAGCAGGTAGGATATTTTTATTTTAAAAGAGAAATTGTGTACTGTATATTTATTAATACTAAATTATAAATAGGTGCTTCTCCAGCTGCCATTGAAGGTTTAATTAAATTATTAAAATAAATACAACAAAACAAACCATATATTTAAAGATTATTATTTATTTAGTTAATGGTATTACTATAAATCGATCTAGAAGCGGTTTGACTGTTTAATTGTGTTCTATTATTATTATTGATATCATTATTATTATCCAAAGATTGGATTTTATATAAATTATTTATACCGCTAACAAAAAAAGGTCTAACCCTATTGATCTCCATTATTGAAAAGTTTATAAACTCCAGTGTACTGATTGGTTCATTATTTTTTAAAATTTTTAGAGAGCTATTTAGTTTGTTCTGTCTTCTAATTAAAATATCTTGAATTAAACTTCTAATTTTATCTGCATTTTTGATATCGGGACATAATTTTAGAAGAATTGTTGATATTTCTATAAAATAATCTGGTAAGCCGACGAATCCTTCAGTCACTTTGTTCTCTTGTATATATTGTTGTTCTAAATATTCAAATGACATCCATTTTGGGGTTTCTATATTACACATTTTCTTTTTTTTTAATGATACTGCAAGCCATAGTGGTACTTTAACTGGTAATGATCGTTCGAATGGGCCGTATTCGCCTGATACGAAAATCAATGATTCCATTTTAAAATTGGGCACTATTGTAATAATTGTATCTTCTGCTAAAAACTCTATTTGGTTTGGTGTCAATCCTATATTCTCTTCCATTTTATTTAAAATTTAAAAATAAAAGTTTTAAAAAAAAAAAAAAAAAATTTAAAAAAAATTTTTTTTTTTGAAAAAATATTTTTTTTTCGGGTAAATATTTATTTAATAAATTTAATTTAGATATTTTAATATTTTTTTTTTTAAAACTTTTATTTTTTATGTATTTATTTATTTTTATTATATTTTGCTCTAAGTTTGTTAAAACTAAAAACTGAAAAAAATCTTGGTGGTGTGAATTCTGTATGTGTTTTATATTTTAATTTGAAAGAAGCTTGAGGGGTACCAGGATTTTTGGCATCAATACAATCCACATCAAAGGGTTTAAAATCCCGAAAAATGCCAGTATAGTTATTAGTTATTTTTAGTTGAGATCTGGCCAAACATATACATATTTTGTAATCTCTTTCGTTTTCTAACATCGTTCGCAAAAATCTTTTTCTAGCACTATCTGCGCCACTTTCATCATCATCATCATCATTATTATCGCTGTTTGAATTGGATTGTGAGGGGGATGGGGGTGACAGGGCTTCCTCTTCTCTGCTTTGTGAACTAGAAGTTGCTGAACGTTGATTCTTGTTTTTATTTGAAATTTCTTCAAAGCTATTATAACTTGTTCTTTCATTTGGATATTGTTTTAAACGTTTATTATTGTTTGAAGTATACTCTTCACTTTCATCCTCATTGCTACTATAACGTTTATTATTGTTTGAAATATATTCTTCATTTTCATCCTCATTGCTACTGGCTTGTGGTGTATTATAAATATCATCTTCATGCTGACTGTTATAAATTTGTGAATTTGAGTTATTATTATTATTTTTTTCTATTTGTTCAATTTTAAAGGAGTGTTTTTTTTGAATTTCTTTCATTTCAAATATATCGGAATTGATTTTAGTCATCTTGGAGTTAATTTCAGATATATTGGATTCTAAACCCTTTAAAAGTTCAAAAATTGAATTTGTTTCAGATGATTTTGATTCTGATTCTGATGATTTTGATTCTGTTTCAGATGATTTTGATTCTGATTCTGATTCAAATTCATTAGGTGAGAAATTAAAATTTAGCCTTGATTTTTTTGGTTTTCTATAGGATGTTGATTTTTTATAGGAATTTTGTTCTAAATATTTTTTTATTGATTCTACAACCCTGGAAACTCGAATTTCTTTATATTTTAATTTGCTTCGAATCGATTTTTCACTATAAAGTTTTATAGAATTAATTTCATCCAATATTATTTTTATATTACAATAATATGTGACATGAAATAGTTTTTGTTTAGTCTTTTTAACAACTTTCTTTTTTTGTAAATCATCTTCTTTTTCGACTTCTTTTTCGATTTCTTTTTCTTCAACATCTTCTTCCTCGACATCTTCTTTTTCGACTTCTTCTTCTTCGACATCTTCTTTTTCGACTTCTTCTTCCTCGACATCTTCTTTCTTTTTTTGTAAATCATCTTCTTTTTCGACTTCTTTTATATTTTTATTGACTTTTTCAATAGGTAAACCTTCTTCATACCACCCCCACAAGCCAAAAACACCATGACAATAACCCATATAAATTTTATCCGACATTATTTTTTCAATTACCATTTCAAATTCCTGAATTTTTTGTATAATTTTGTAATTAAATAATATTTTATAAATTTCTTTTTTTTTACCATTTATTGTTTTTTCCAAACGATTTGGTTGTAGTTGATCTATATGATCATATTGATGTGTTTTGGTTAAGAAATATAAACATCTGAAAACATGCTCTAATTTATAGTTTTCTAAATCATAAAACGAATTGCTTTTTTGTATAGGGTATTGATACGTTTGATTTATTTTTCTTGAGACTAATTTTTTAACATCATCTGGAACAATGTCCGTTCCTTCAAATAATGCCATTAAACTTTCTTGACTATAAGCAAGAATAATGCTTCCAATTGTTTTGTTTTGTTTTAATAGATTGGTTCTAAAAACAGTTAAAAAATCAATATTATTCATTTTTAAATTTGATTATTTTTAATAAAAAAAATTAAAAAAAATAAAAATAATTTTTTTCAGCGCTGTATGGCTCGTTAATTAAATTAAAAAAAAAATAAAAAAAAAAATAAAAAAAAATAAAAAAAATTTATTTTTTTAAAATTTATATAATTTTTTTTAGCACTAATAAAGCGGTAAAAAAATTTGTAGTTTTGATGTTTGTATTTTTACCTTGTTAAGTAACCCCATTATTATTTGTTAATTTTTTTTAGCACTAATAAAATTCCAAAACATTTGTTGAAAAATAAATAAACTATTTTTAAAAAATTTATCAAAACTACAAATTTTTTATTTTCTATAATTTTAGTTCTTTAATATAAATATAGTTTTTTTAAGGTATTAAATTTTTGAAAATTTTAGATATTTTAAATTATTAGGAAGTACATCTGGAGCAAAAGGTTGATTAAAATTTTCACCAAATGTTAGTCTAGTAATACTTTTAGGAAGTACACCTGGAGCAAGAGGTTGATTAAAATTTTCACCAAATGTTAGTCTGGTAATACTATTAGGAAATACACCTGGAGCAAGAGGTTGATTAAATTCTTTACCAAATGTTAGACTTGTAATACTATTAGGAAATACACCTGGAGCAAGAGGTTGATTAAAATTTTCACCAATAATGATTTTTTTAACACCATATGGGATTACACTTTTTATTATTAGTTTTTTAAAAAAAATAAAAATTTTTTTTTCTATTGATAAAAAAAGAGGTTGATTAAAATCATAACCAAATGTTAAATTAGTAACAGTATTTGGAATAATACCTGGTATTAAAGGTTGGTTAAACTGGTTACCAAATTCTAATATTTTGACCCTATTTGGAATATCATTTGGTTTAATTTTTTTTATATTGTTTAAATGTAATTTAGTTACACCATTTGGTATAACACTACTTAAATCTTGATTGTAATTCCCAAGTTGTAGTTCTTTTAATTTACGTGGAAGGATATTTTTAAGTGATTTATTAAATATTTTTCCAAATTTTAAACATGTTACGCTGCTTGGGATACTACCTTTAAATAGTTTTTTATTAAATTGATCTCCAAAATACAAAGTTGTAATAGCACCTGTTAAATTTAAAAAAGTTGGTGTTATATTGATATTATAAAATATTTTGTCTAAATATTGTTTATGACCAAAGTTATTAAATTTTATTATATCATCATTTTCGCAAATAATAAAAAATATTTTTTTCAAGTTATAAATAAAATTGAAAATTTGTATATAATAAATAATTTTTTTTTTTAAATAAATATTATTCCAAATTAATGAAAATAAATGTGTATTATCTATTCCTGCTATATATTTTTGAATACTCTCTTTCTGTATTTTAGTTTTTTTATAGTTTTTATTATCAAAATTATCATTTTCTATTTTTCTTTTTATATTTTTACACATTTTTAAAAAAAAAAAATTTTAAAAAAAAAAAAAAATTTTAAAAATATAACCCATTTTTTTTTATAAAAAAAAAATTTTATTAAAATATATGAATGCAATAATAATAAATGTAAATTATGATATTATTTAATTGTTGTTTTAAAAAAAAAAATAAAAAAATAAAATGAAATTGCAAAAATATTTAAAAATTTTTTTTTTTATTTAAACTTTTTAATTAATAAATAATCTCTTTTGGGATTAAGCTTGTCGATTACAATCATTGTGAATTTTGGTATATTTTCTAATGTTTGGCTGAAATTTTTACCAATTTTAATATACTTAATGGACTGTGGCATAACATTTTTCATTATGGGTTGGTTAAAATTTTCTCCAAACTCTATATTTACTAGTTCTTTTGGCAATACATTAACACCAAGGGGTTTGTTAAAATTTTTTCCAAATTCTATACAATTTATTCCTTCTGGGAGTGAGTTTTGTGGTATTTCTTTATTAAATTCATCATCAAAGATTAGACAGTGGGTACATGGCGGGATTTCTGAAAAAATATTATTACTTTTAAAAAAAAAATGAAATAAAAAAAATTCACCAGAATTACTGTTATTATTATTTAATAAATAAACTCTTTTGGGATTAAGCTTGTCGATTTCAAGAATTGTGAGTTCTGGTATATTTTCTAATGTTTGGCTGAAATTTTTACCAATTTTAATATACCAAATGTACCTTGGGATAACATTTTTCATTATGGGTTGGTTAAAGTTTTCTCCAAACTCTATTTTTTCCAGTTCTTTGGGCAATACATTAACATCTAGGGGTTTGTTAAAATTTTTTCCAAATTCTATCCATTTTATTTCTTCTGGGAGTGAGTTTTGAGGTATTTCTTTATTAAATTCATCATCAAATATTAAAAACTCGGTACAGGGTGGTATATCTATAAAACTATTGTTTGTTTTAAAAACGAAAGTTTTTTCTTTGTCGATACACCTGAACATTATTATAAAAAACTGTGATGTTTTATTAGTGTTAAAAAATAATTGTAAAAAAAATAACTTGAAAGGAAAAAAAAAAAAATTTTAAAAAAAAAATTTTAAAAAAAATTTTAAAAAAAAATTAAATTTTAAAAAAAAAAAAAAAAATATCAATTTTAAATTGTGAAATCAATAACAACAATTTAGGGGTTATTTATTTTAAAGTTCCAATTGGTTTTTTTTGAAGTGATTCAAATTCAAAATCAAAAATTTGGTTAATTTCATTTGAAACTTCTTCAACTGTTCTATTTGCATTGATAACTTTCCATGATGGTCTCTTTAATTTTTCTTCATTGCTTAATTTTCATTTGGAATTGGACCTTTTCATAACGCTCACCACCGTAATCACCTCTTTTAGTGGCATCTTCGGTAGACATTGAAAGATAGAAAACAATATCTGGTTCTGGTAAACCAGATTCACAACTATAACACCAATCAACATCAATACCTTTGGCTGCGGTATATGCAACACCACTATATGAATATCTATCTACAACAATATTTGTACCACTATTTAATAACTCTAAAATTGAATCTCTAAAGAAAAATTGAAATATTATTGTTAATATGATTATTATTGTTAATAATAATAATAATAAAATGATTACTAACTTTGCTTCCCAACGATTTGAAGAGAATAAAAGATGTAATGCTCTATCATCCATATTTGTAGAATTTTGAAGATATTGGTTAAGAATTTGACCAATTGGAGTTGTACGGTCAGGAAATCTTAATGATTTAGTTGGAAGATTTCTACTGTTGGAAATATGGTTGGTTAAGGATTGAACTTGTGTTGATTTACCAACTCTATCTGCGCCTTCAAATAAAATAAATAAACCTCTTTTCGTCATTCTATTAATCTTCTTATTGAAATCATTATTTAAATTAAAAAATTTTTTTACAAAATAAAAAATATTTACAAAATAATATAAATTTTTTTACAAAATATTTACAAAATAATATAAATTTTTTTACAAAATATTTACAAAAATAATATAAATTTTTTTAAAAATTTTTTTTAAAAATTTTTTTTTTTTAAAAAATTTTTTTTTTTAAAAAAAAAAAAATCATCAGTTACAATGATAAAAAATTATAACATTAAAATATATATTTAAAAATGATTAAATATTATTACTATTATTATTACAGTGGTAAGTATTAAAAAAAAAAAAAATTAGTAATAATTTATACTAATTTCTATATTTTAAAATTCACAGAAAAACAAACTGCGTATGAACAAGCCCTGGCTTCTAAAAAACCTAATTCAAATAAGAAAATTAACAGTATATAAAAGTAGGTTTAAATATTTATTGAAATTTTAAAATCCAATATATTAATATAGAATTAAATATTTAGCCGAACACTCAAATCAATATATCGAAATTTTGAGCAAACAGTTTAACTTAATTAATGAAAAATCGATGAAGTTTAACTTAATTAAAAATTATTATACAACGCTTGCTGAAAATGAAATATAAGTATACTTTCAGGGATTCCTTTGGAAAGGAAAATCTAGATGCTATCCTGTAACTATTTATGACATTAAAAAATGTTTTGGGACTCGAAAATAATACAACGCACCATAATCAGAGCCAACACCATGACCCTTTGAAACACACCTTTCTACCATCCTTTTCTCCACTCTGGTGTAGTTCTTCAAATGAAGAAAGCTTCTGTAATCAATGATGATATTCATGGTCAAGCTGCTTTATTTGCAGAATCCCAATATGCTCTATTATTATAAATGAAGAAAGCTTCTGTATTCAAACACAGAAAAACCAGAAAATGCAAAATGAAATTAGAAATCAACAAAAAAAATTAATTCAATACCATAAAATTCAAGAACAAATAAAAGAACTGGAAATAAAAGATTTCCCAATATGCTCTATTATCAACATTGATGATATTCATGGTCAAGCATCATAAACTATTCATAGAAATTTATTTTTTAAAAAAAGATACAAGCTGTTTTATTTGCAGAATCCCAATATGCTCTATTGAACAGAAGTTTTTTAAACCTTCCATTTCAATAAAAACTAAAATTATTATTACTATTATTATAAAAATAAAATGTTGATCGATTTTAAGTAAAAATATTTTTTTTTATTTTTTTTTTTTTTTTTTTTTTTAATAAAAAGTTTAAAATTATATATTATGTTCTGAACAATTTTTGCAACAATAAAATAAATTAGTTTTATCTAATTCCAAACTATTATTATTTTTACAATAAACACAAACTTTATATGTAATTGAATTACCAAGGCAATCAAAACAAATTTTTTTCTCTAAAAAAAATTTTTGTAATTCAGGTTTTGGACAATTTTTTTCGATACAAGCTTTGCAATAGCTTGCACTACCACATTTCATAATACAAGATACTAAATTATCATATGTATTACATTTTTTACATGCCATCCTAGTAAAATTTAATACCTGATTATCAGCACAGTTTTCTAATAATAGTTTTGGGAATGTTTTTAAAAGATTTGAATGAATATTAATATTTATACTATTGTTTTGGTCATTTAATTGATAACCTGGGTTTTGTTTTAGTATCAAATCTAGTATTTTTTGATTTATAATTATTTTTTTTTCTTCACAATAATATTTATGTCCAGCCGGTTCTATTTTTAAAAATTTTTCTCCTCTCACTTCATTAATTTCTTCTAAATTTTCTTTATCATTTCTTAAAGATCTTTTATTTTTTTCTTCATTATTTCTTAAAGATCTTTTTTTAGAATTTGTGTTTTTAGTTTCATAAATGGCTTCATAGCTATTTGTATCATTTTTAAAAAATTCTTCATTTATTTCACAATTTGAGCAAAAAATCTTTTTCTTTGAAACTATTTCATCACTATTATTATTATCTATAATTGAATTTTGACAATTAACACATTTATTAGTTTTTGTAGATTTTTGAATACATAGAAAACATAATTTTGTGTATATTTTTCTTGGTGCTGAAGAAATATTTTTTGATTTATTAATACAATTATTACAAGTTAAAAAACCACAATTAAAAGTTCTACAATTCTCACCGCTGTATAAACATTTCGCACCACATTCAACACATTTATCATTAATTTCGAAATATAAATTTCCATTTTCATTCAAACATTTTTTATAGTCCAATTTTTGAAACGTTTTATTTTTTGGAAATTGTAACCAATCATATAATTCTTTTTCACTGATAATATAATAATTATTTAAATATAAATTTGAATATTTTTTGATTTCGTTTATTTGTATCAAAGTTAAAGAAATTGATATTGATGTATCAATAGTTGAAATACAAGTAAAAAATATATACATCGTATCCTTTGGTATTATTATATTTAATTTGGATAAAAGTGAATCTACAATATTCTCATCAACTCCATATTTATCTAAAATATCGATAAAATGTTTATAAAATAATTCACATTTTTTTGTAGTATCATTCTCTAAATTTTTATATTCTTGAAAAATATAATAATAAAATAAATTTATAATTCCATAAATACAATTTTTATAAATAGTATTATTATTATCATTATTATTATTGTTTTTCTGCATATTATTATAAAAATCCAAATAGTTATTATTTGATACTTGATTGGCGGAGTAAGTCAACTCTTTGATTTTTTCATTTTTATTTGCTAATTCTTTCTGATGTGCATGTTTTGAAGATGAAAATTCTTTTTTTGTTGTATCTAAAGAATTAGTTAACTCTTTGATTTTATCTTCTAATTTTTTTTTGTCTTCTATATATTGAATTTTATTATTATTAATTTTATTATTAAGATTTTCAATATTTTTTTCGTTTTCTATTTGAGTTTGACTATTCTGAATGATTTCTTTTTTTAAACTTTCAATTTGATTTTCAAATTTTTTAGTAGATGTTTTATTTTCTCCATCAGCTTTTTTAAATATTTCGATAGTGTCATCTTTAATTTTAAGTAATTCATTTTGATTTTCAATTTCTAATTTTAAGCTATTGAATTCTGTAATTTTTTTTTGTTCCTCAGTTTTTAATTTATTAATATCGATTTTATGTTTTTTAATTTGTTGATCTAATAATTCTATTTCTCCATCTTTTGTTTGTATTATAATAGTTAATTTCTCTGTATTTTTTTTATTTTCTTCAAGGCTTTTACTTAATCTAGAATTTTTTGTATTTTCATCATCAAGTTTTGAATTTATTTCATTCATTATATTTTTAGAATGATCTATAGCGTCTTTTTGTTTTTGTATTTCTTTTTTATTTGTCTCATTAAGTAATTTTAAATTTTCTAATTCTGATTGTATAGAAGAAGTTTTTCTAATTTCTTCATTTTTTTCTTGACCTAGAATTTTTATATCATTTTCTAATTCTTTGGTTTTTTGTTCTGCTTTTAAAATAGATAAATTTAAATTTTTTTTTTCTTTTATTAATTCTTCGTTTAAATGTTCTAATTGATTACATTTTTCTTTTAAAGCTTCGTTAGCATCATTACCATTTTTTTTATAATAATTTAATTGTGTTTCATTTGCTGACAATTTATTATTTAATTTTTGATTATTTTCTTTTTCTAATTCTAAATCACTTGTTAAATCTTCAACACTTTCTTTGAGTTTTGTTTCAATGTTTAATAATCTTTCTATTTCTTCTTCTTTTTCAGTAATTTCATTTTCTTTATTTTTAATTTGCTGCATATAAAAATTTTTTATTTTTATTTTTTCTGTTTCGAAAATTTGTTTTACATTTTCTTTTGTTTCAATAATTTCTTTATTTTCTGTTTCTATCATATCATATTTTATTTTATTGTCGTCACATACTTGTTCCAATTTAGTTTTCTCTGTAGTTAAATTTTTTAATTCATCTTCTTTTTTTTCTAATTCTTTTTTTAGCTCAGTATTTTCTTCTTTTTTTTCATCTAGCTCTTGTTCTAAATTATTTATTCTATAAAAATATGTAGTTTTTTCTTTTGATAATGTAATATTTTCATCTGTTAAATTTTTAATTTTTTCAGTATTTTCATTAATTTTTTCAGTCATTTCATCACTTTTTTGTTTATTTTCATCTTCAAATTGTTTAGATTTATTTTTAAAAAAACTAAGTTCTTTTGAAATTTTACTATTGCTTTCTAATAATCTATTTTTTTCATCCTCTAGATATTTTTTGAAATCCAAATTTTCATCATCATCATTATTTTTATTAATGTTTTTTTTCAAGCTATTATTTTCATTTTCCAAAGAAGATAATTTATCTTCAATTTCTAAAAATTTTTCTTTTAATGATTTATATTTATTTTTTTTATTTTTTTTATATTCATTTAATGTTTCTATTTTTTTTTCTTTTCCTTCGATTTCAAATTGTAATTTTTCAATTTTTTCATTTTGTTCATTAAATGTATAATTATTATTCAGGAGTGTAGATGTTTTTAATGTTTCTATTTCCTTTTCTTTATCAGCGAGTTGAGATTTTAATTCGGCAATTTCATTAAATTTGGGTGGTATATATATGGGGGGTAACAGGGGTTTATAAGTAAATGTTTTTAATCTTTCTATTTCCTTTTCTTTGTCAGCGAGTTGAGATTCTAATTCGGCAATTTTTTCTTTTTGTTCAGTAGTAAATGTTTCTATTTCCTTTTCTTTATCATTTTGTGGATAAAAGGTAAAAAAATTATTCATTAATGGGGGTCTATATGGGGGGGGGGGGGGTGTAAATGTTTTTAATGTTTCTATTTCCTTTTCTTTATCAGCGAGTTGAGATTCTAATGTTTTTTTTTCAGATTCTAATTCGGCAATTTTTTCATTTTGTTCAGTAAATGGGGGTGGTGTATATATATATGTAAATGTTTTTAATCTTTCTATTTCCTTTTCTTTCTCAGCGAGTTGAAAATATAAATCTATTTCCTTTTCTTTATTTTGGCCTCACTTCAGGGTTTGATAATAATTCTCTAAGGTGTCCAATTTCTACGTTTATTTTTACAATTTCTGTTTCCAATTGTTCAATTTGTTCAGACTGATCATAAATAGCCTCATAAATTTTGTCATGTTCATTTAATGGTGGCAAATTTTTAAGATTCTCTTGCTCTTGTTTTATTTGATCTTTTGTTTTATATTGATATGGAATATTTATTATTCCAGTACTTAGTGATTTTAGATTACAATACCCATCGTTGCTAGCAACATCCTCTTCATTTTTTGCTTTAGCAGTAGTATTATTTTTTGCTTTGGCAGTAGTATTATTTTTTTTAGTGACTTTTTTGCTAGCAACAACCTCTTCATCTTCATCTTTTTTATTGCTATGACTTCTAGTAATTGGAGCAGTTCTATTTGATGATAGTGATGATAATATTTGATTACAAAGTTCATCGACCAATTTATCTTCAATTTTAATATTTTTTTTGTTTATTATTTTTTGAACTTTTTTAACAGTATCTGAATTATTATATTCTTTTTTTTTATTTTTTTCTTTAATTTTGTTTAGTTGTTCGTTGAGTGAACTATCTACAATATCAATGATATTTTCAAGGTCATGTGGGACAGTTTTACCAGTAATCTTACAAACCAATGTTTTTTTTTTTTTATCAAAATGATAATGCTTATGGTCATAAGCATCGTCAGTAATTAATTGATTATAAATATTTTCCAGTTGTTTTGAATGATTTTTTGCTTCTTGTGAAATTTTAATTTGTAACATTTTTTTATTGTGTCAATATTAAAATTATTGTTGTTTTAAATAATTATTTTTAAAAAAAACTCTCAATTTATAGTATGGGGAAAAATTAATTTTTAAAAAATTATGTTATAAAATAAAAAAAAAAAATCTCTTTGAAATAATAAAAAAAAAAAAAAATTTTAAAAAAAAAATATTAAAAAAAAAATTTTAAAATAAAAATAAATTTTAAATAAAAATAAATTTAAAATATCAAACAAAAATTTATTAAAAACAAAAATCTTTCTAATAAGAATTGTTAAAAATGAAAAGATTATTATTATTTATTATTTTAATAATAATTTTATATTATTCTTTTTTTTAAAATTTATTTTTATGAACCTGAAGAAATAATTTTTCTATTTCCTTTTATTTTTTCTCTGATAGCTCTTTTAATATTAATGCCATCTCGTCTTTTAATTCTTTAATGGTGTCATCTATATTCTCTATTTTATCAAAAGTAACAGAAAAAAGCCCTGTATAATATTTATCAGTCATTAAATTTTTATATTTTGCTATAGCAGTATTATTATTTTTTGCTTTGGCAGTAGTATTATTTTTTTTAGTGACTTTTTTGCTAGCAACAACCTCTTCATCTTCATCTTTTTTATTGCTATGACTTCTAGTAATTGGAGCAGTTCTATTTGATGATAGTGATGATAATATTTGATTACAAAGTTCATCGACCAATTTATCTTCAATTTTAATATTTTTTTTGTTTATTATTTTTTGAACTTTTTTAACAGTATCTGAATTATTATATTCTTTTTTTATATTTTTTTCTTTAGTTTTGTTTTGGTGTTCGTTGAATGAACTTTCTACAATATCAAAGATTTTTTCAAGGTCATGTGGGACAGTTTTACCAGTAATCCTACAAACCAATGTGTTGTTTTTTTTATCATATGCATAATTCTTATGGTTAAAATTTTCATCATCCTTTAAACGATTAAAAATATCTTCCAGTTGTTTTTCCAAAACTTTTGCCTCTTTTGACAGGGAAAGTGAAATTATCACCATTTTTTATTGAATGAGAATTAATTTAAAATTATTGTTGTTTTAATAATAATTTATATAATTAAAAAAAAAAAAAAAAAAAAAAAATTTTAATATTAAAAAAAAAAAAAAAATTTTATTTTTAAAAAAAAATTTTATTTTTAAAAAAAAATTTTTAATATTAAAAAAAAAATATTTATTATTATCTTTCTTTTATTAATTGTTAAAAATGAAAAGATTATTATTTATTACAACAATTATATTTTCTTTTTTTTTAAAATTTATTTTTTCAAATGATTTGCACCCTGAACATTTCGAAAAATATTTTTTAATAATAAATGATTCCAAACCTGAAAATAATTTTGTACCAGAACTAAATAATAATATAATATATGAAGATATACAGACTACTGAAAATTCAACGTTATATATGTCTCATGAAACAAAGATTTATAGTATTGATAGATATAGGGATATCGCTGTTAATAAATCTTTATATAATTATTTATGGTTAAAAAATGAAAATAATAATAATAATAATTTACCCGCATATTTTGAAATTGGTTATATAAAACCTTATTCGGTATATATAGAATCAAATGTCGTAAATTTTTTTTTCTTTAAAGAATTTGAAAGAGAAGTTAGATATTATTGTAAATTTTTAAATAAAGATTTTATACAGAAATATCATAGTAACAGTATCGTTTTAAATTTAAATGATGTGTGTGAACACCAAAATTATATCTCAATTCTTATTACATATGGTTATTTCCATCATTATAATACTATTATAAAATGTACACAAAAAGAAATAATAAATTATCAAGATTCAAATAATAATAATCATATATATAATGATTACACACAACATGCTTTTAATTATAATTTAATTTTTTTGTTTTTAACTTTAATTATTGGCATTATAATCAAATTAATTAGTTTTTATCATTCATCAACACATATACCACGTGGTCTACATTATAAAATATTAAAAGAAAAAAATAAAAAAAATGATGATAATAATAATGATCATGATGAAACATCATATATTAATGCTTATAAAAAGTTAGAAAAATCATATAGAATTTTAAAATTCAAATTATCTTTTTTAATTTTAGTTTTAATTTTTTCTATATTATTTTCTGTAGGAAATGCTGAAATTTGTGATAAAATTGAAATTCTTTCAAATAATATTATTGTTGATAAATTTGACTATGGAAATGGGACAGTACAATCTTCAATATCTGGTAACTATATTTTCCAATTATTTTCCCATAGTTGGACCGGTTGTATACAACTTATGGACAACGGCGAATCTATTGGTAATTTAGTAATAAAAATTGTTGATTACCATTTTCAAACTAGAAAAGAATTACAATATTATACCTCTTGCTGGGTTCCTATTGTTAATTCTTATAAAGAATGTTATGGAAGTGGTGGTTGTAAAAAAGGAGTTTGTAATGATTTTCAAATTAACAATACAAATTGGAATGGTAGAATGCCTGATAAAATGTTATCACAATATTACCCCGGAGAAAGTGGATGCTTTATGCCCGCAAAAAATATTCAAGTTGGTTGCTATTTGAACCCTGATTATCATGCATGTTTATATTATAGAATTGGAATATCGCCTGTTGATCCAATTTTCCCAGTTTATAAAATTGTTGGCGTAGATGTTAAATATAAAATTGAAGCAACATTAAATGGAAAAAAATTATCTATCACTGATGATGGTTCAAAAGAAATATCTTATAGGTTTGATGGAGCATTAATACCAGATAACACACTACTTGGTAGATATATGGCAAAAGTTGGCTCAACATGGTATGATATCGAAAATGTAGCAAAAAGAGGTGGGCCTCAACCATTTGCAATTGGTGACATACAAGCAACCAAAGATACTGATCTTAAAAATCATATCACTAGCTATATCAAATATGCTCATGGTTTATGGTATGATCTAAGACCAAATAAAGAAGGCCATTCATTAAATGTAAAATATTCATTTCAACAACCTGGTTGTAGAGAGATAGAAATTTCAAATAAATATCCACAAAGAATTGGTGATATTAATTATTCTGCTGACGAAGATGGGGTATTATATGGTTACCCAACCTTTCATAGCCCTATAACTGTTGTTATAAATATTCCAAATGCAAAAAATTTATCTACTGTTAGAATAACAAGTCAAGTGTGCCCCGAAGTAAGAAATTTAAAATATTTAGAAAGTTGCAAAAATTGTTTAACAGAAGCATCAGTATCTTTAGAAATTAAATCAACATGTAGCTCAGGCCATGTAACAATAACAAACATAAATCCAAATGTTACAATTATTACTCATACTCTAGAAATTTCAAAAACTTTCACAACATTTACAATTTATTATTCTTCTCAACTTGAGGTAATTGAAGACGTGTTTTCTTTTAATAATAAATCACCAGTTAAAATAAATACAATTTTACGTGACCCTGATATTAAACTACTTGTAAATAATAGTTCGAGATCAGGTTCCGACAAAGAAGGTGGTGGCGATGGTGATGGTGATGGTGAAGATAATTTCTTTCAAAAATTAATTAAAATTTTCAAAAAAGTTTTTAATTTTATAAAAAATTATTATAAAACAGTTTTTATTATTATAGCCATTGTTATTTTAGGTTCTATAGTTTTATATATCTCATTTTTATTATTTCCATTATTTATCAGAAAAATTTAAATAAAAAAAAAATTTAAAAAAAAAATAAAAAAATATTAAAAATAAAAAAAAAAATTTTAAAATCGTTCTTAGTTTATTTATTATTTATTTTTATATTACAATTTCTTAAAGTTCCAATAGGCAGATAATAATTTTTTTTTGGTACCTCTTCTTTTTCTTCTTTTTTTAGTTTTTTTGACCTGGGTAAATCATCATCTTTTTGATAGATAGATTTTTGTTTTGTTTTATTTTTTTTTGTAATTTCAATATCAAAATAACAATTATAAAATGAAATAAAACAATTTTCTTTTAGCTCAATTAAATTCTCTTGTTGTTGACTGTTATTTATTTTAAAAAATTCCATTTCACTTTTTTTTAAAAAAACTTTTTCTTCTTTTTTGAATATTTCAACTTCACCTCCCCCTGTTTTATCAAAATTCAAATTTACATCATAATTTTTTTCTGTTTTATTTATGCTATAAAAATAATATAATTAATAAAAATAATATAATTAAACCTAATATGAAATAAATAGTTATTACCCAAACTTAAATTTTTTTTCATGTACATAATAACTTATATCTTTTTTTCCATGTTTATCAATTTCTAAAATTTTTAACCACATAATCATTATTATATATTATATATTTAAAAAATTTATAAAAATTAAAAAAAAAAAAAAATTTAAATTTTTAAAAATAAAAAAAAAAAAAAAAAAAAAAATTTTAAAAAAAAAATTTTATATCATTTTATATATGAGCAAAAATAAAATGCAATATATTTTAGAAATATATGACCAACCAAATAGAAAAAAATTTGGTAATATACAAGCAGAATCAGGTATTAATTATAATAGTATGATTTATATTAATTAACAAATTAAAATTAACTGTTGTTTTTTTTTTTTTAAATCATAGTATCAAAATTAAATTTTATCTCAAATATTTGTTATTATTATTATGAAAATAAAAATGAATCAAAATATTTTGTGGAAATCAAAGGAGATTTTACAATTAATAACACTGATGAAAATAAGATTATAAGAAATAAGGTAGCAGAAATATTTTTGGGGGACAATATTTATTTTAATAATAAAATATTTATTTTAAAAACAAATAAAAATAATAATAATTAAATAATTTTATTTATTTTTTCGTATTTTTTATATAAATTATTTAAATCATAATAAGTTTCATAATATAAAAAAAAATTTTTAAAAATATTATAATTTAAATATAAATGTTCAAAATGATGGCACAAAAGGAACAAAGTATCGTCTTTTTTTTTGGTTGATTTAAAATTAATATTAATGACCTGAACAACCCCGGTTTTTTCGATTATATTTTGATAAAATTCATTATCGTCCATATATGTTAATTTTTGTGTTGGAATTTCTTCTTCTTCTTCTTCTTCTTTTATTGGGATTTCTTGATCGTCTTCTTCGTAAAAATTAATATAAATTACAGTTTTTGTATAAAAATTTATAATTTGAAGAAAAAAAATATTATTTTCTAGTTTAGGTATTATTAATAATTTTATGTCGGAAATGTTATTAATATCGACCAAATTTGGTTGAACTTTAATGAAAGATTGCTCTTGTTTTATCAAAGACTTTAAATATTTTGATAAATCAGGTCTACCACAAATTTTGCATTCATTTAATGTTTTTCTAATGGTTTTGTTTTTAAAAGGCCAAAAGTGGTATTTAAGCTTTTCAATCATCCTATCTCTTGATAAACAATTTCCTTTTTGGTGTTGTTCTTTTAAAAAACTTGAAATTATTGAAAAATTATTTTTTTTTATAAAATAATAATTTATTTTCCCTATTTTCACATCATAAAAACTATATTTATTTTCATATATCAAAGTTTCAATAGATTCACGGTCTGCACCTAAAAAACTTGCAATATTTCTTGAATTTGGTATAGTTTTATTTCTATTTACCCATTTTTGAATATCTTCTGTTGTTGTTGTTTTTTTTCTTTTTTGAATACCTTCTTCTGTTTTTATTTTTCTTTGAATACCTTCTTCTGTTTTTATTTTTCTTTTTTGAATACCTTCTTCTGTTTTTATTTTTATTTGAATACCTTCTTCTGTTTTTATTTTTTTTTGAATACCTTCTTCTGTTTTTATTTTTAAACTCATTTTGTATCTCTTATTGTTGTTTTTTTTATTCACAAAATATATTTTTTAAATTTTTTTTTAAATTTTTTTTTAAATTTTTTTTTAAAAATTATAAAATTTTTTTTTTTAAATTTTTTTTTTATATCATCACAAATAAAAAAAATAATAATAATTATGATTTCTATTACACAAATAGAGGGCAATAATAAAAAATTAATAACAAAAAATTTATTAACCCAACAAGTATATTTTTATGGGAATAATAAAATTTTTGATTCACAAAAAGAGAAAAAAAATTTATATAGCTTGAACACAATCGACAGCGAAGAAATTATTTTATTAATTGGAACCTATCAAACCAATATATCTTATGTATCATTTTATTATAGAAAAGAGAAAATATCCATTAATGATAGATTAGTTAACTTTTTTTCAAGAGAAATTGAATTAAAAGACAAAGATGTAATTAAAATAAATAATTATGAAATAAAGTATGAAAAAATTGGTAATGGTAATGGTGTCGAAATTCAACCGGAGAATAACCTCGAATCTGACAGCTCAAGTGAAAGTTCAAGTGAAAGTTCAAGTGAAATTGAAGTTGAAATCAATACAAAAAAAAAAACAAGAAAAATGAAGAAAAGAAAAAGATCAAAAGTCATCAAACATGCCAGTTTAAATACATAAATAAATTTAATTTTTAGTTTTCTAAAAAATGTGTTTTATTAATTTTATTAACTACTAATCTATATACAACTGTTTTATCAAAACTTTGCTTATACCTTCCTCCAACTTCTAATATTTCTACGGATGGTGGTATTGCACTGGGTGATAGAGGTTGATTAAACCAATCGCCAAATATTAATGTTTTTACAGAGGATGGTATTACACCAGCTGAAATAGGTTGATTAAATTTAAAACCAAATATTAATGTTTCTACAGAGGATGGTATTACACCGGCTGATAGAGGTTGATTAAATTTAAAACCAAATGTTAATGTTTTTACAGAGGATGGTATTACACCGGCTGATAGAGGTTGATTAAATTGATTACCAAATGTTAATGTTTCTACAGAGGATGGTATTACACCGGCTGATAGAGGTTGATTAAATTGATTACCAAATTTAAGTTTTTTTGCGGATAGTGGTATTATGTATTTTATTATACTCGCTATAGGTTTAGAAGAATTTTTTTTAAAAGTATAAATAACTTTCTTTACTTTATAACTATTTTCTAACATTTTGATGGATGGCGGCTTTATAAAAAAAAAATAAAAAAAAAAAATAAAAAAAAATAAAAACTAAAAAAAATAAAATTTTTTTTAAAAATCAATATTTTTTCAAATTTTGATGTCAATTTTATTATTAAACGTTGGTTTTTGTTTTATAAAAAATAAACCCTCCATATCTAAATTTTTTTCGTGGAAACTTAGCATTTTGTTAATAATGTGGGAAAAATATTGTATAGTAGTAGTATTAATAATTACCAATCTAAAAATTGAAAATTTTTATTTTCAATACTTTTTCTGATTTCTTGTATATATTTTTCTTTTATGGAATTAGCTATATATTCTTTATTTTCAATATTTTTTATTAAAACTTGTAGTTGATATAATAAAAAATCCATATCAATTTTTTCATTTTTTTCAAAAAATTTTTTTTCTTCTTTTAAATTATCCATAAATTTTCCTTTATCTATTTTGTTTTGGATTTTTAATATTGTTGGGTAAAATAAACTATAAATAACAACTTCTGAAAATTTTAAATGAATATCCTCTACACTATATTCTTCTATTTTTAAATTATTCTTTTTATTAATTGCCTCTTTAAAAAGTTTTAGTTTTTCCATATCATGGTCTTTACAATCATTATTAATTTTAATTTTGAATCTATTTGAAAATATATTAAAATTTTCATACTTGAATATTGATAAATGTTTTAATGTTGATAAAAATGAATAGTTATTGTTATAGAAATGACAAGTAATAAGAACCTATAAAAATTTTAAAGAAAAAAATAAATTTGTATTATTATTATTATTATTATTATTTTAAATAAAATAAGAAATTTTACTTTTAAATCATTAAAAGTTTGTAAAATATTTTGATGAAAATATTCATATTTTTCGTATAACCCAATTAATGTTGCTTTATCTATTATTATAAATTTATTATATTTAAAAAATACTATTTCTAAAAAATTTTGAAACAGTTCTTCTTTATTTGATAATTTAAAAAAAGTATAATCCCTAAAATAAATTTTTGTATTATATAAAAGATTTAAAATAATTATAATTGGATATTTATTTTTCTGTAGTTTTTTTATAAATTTTGCAAGCTTTTCTTCGTTAATGGTTTTGCTAAAATTTTCAAATATAAAAATTGTATTATTATTTATTTTTTTAATTTGAAAACTATCAACCATCATGATAATTGTATCACTATCAGAAAATATTTTTTTACAAACATTATAAATACCATTTGTCATATTAAAAGATGAATAAAATACAATTTGATTTACTTTATTTTCTTCTTCTTTTTTATAAGTTTTTAGATGGCCATTTATAATATCCTCCTCTTTTAATATTAAACAATTTTCTTTTGACTCTATATCAGCCATACAATTATTATAAAAAATAATTTTTTCATTTATTATGGACATTTTATTGCAAAATAAAAAATAAAAATAATGATCCGCAAAAAAATTAAAAATGAAAACTTAAAAAATTTTTTTTACATATAAAAAATTAATATGCAAAAAAAGACTTTGAAAAATATAAACTGTTTCCTAAAAATACATATAAAAATTAATATGTATTTTTAGGAAACAGTTCATATTTTTCAAAGTCTTTTTTTACATATTAATTTTTTATATGCTCTTTTAATTTGTTAATTTCATAGTTAGATATCCTCAATATTATTTGATTTAAAAATACACCTATATTGGGATGTATATTCTTGTAGTACAATAAATATTATGTTTTTAAAACAATAAAAAAAATAAAAAAAAATAGTTTAAATATTTTATAAAAAAATTTTTATTTATTTTGGTTTAAATATGAGATCGGTGGTATTATCTGAATGAGACATGGAAACAAAATATGTATCAGTCTCTCTTTTAAATGAAATTAAATGACCACAATTTTTATTTTTATGATAAATATTAATTATCATACCATCAATGGCATTTTGTACCTCTTCACGATAACCTTTAACGAAATTTTTAAAAAAATTTTTTGTATTTTTTCTTATATATTCGTTTGATTTGATAAATTTTATCTCAACTAGTTCTTCATCTTTAGATTCATCATCTTCATTTCTTTTTCTTTTTAAAAACTTTTCTTCTTCTTTTTTTATTTTTTTTTTTATTTCTTTCTCTTTTGATATAAAATCAACTGGTTCATC